CTTGATTTCCCCATCTCCAAATAGACAAGGACACAAGCTTTTCATTTAAGGATTATATGACCCACGTCCTTACAAATATTCCATAACTTCCAAGCACCATCCTTTTATGGGCACATCTGGATTAGATTATTGTAGTCGATATGAACCATGAATTAATCATATTCAGAGGGATGAGTGGTAACTCACAATTTAATGAACGAGTTTAGATAAATGTATCTCGAGAGTTTCAAATTCCCATTTGGAACTCGGCAACCTTGGTTTAGCTGCATTCCAAATATTGTCCCCTGAAAGAGCAGTCTCTCTAATTTCCCATGGGTTGTACAAACCAATTCTTTTTCCACCACCCTCCCACCTAAAATGGATGCTCTGTCCATGATGTTCTCAGCTACATACCCATCGCTCGAAACTTGTAGCGAGTTTTGCCACAATATCAACCAAACAAGGTGATCTGACTGATATACTCACTGCCAACCCCCCCAACTATTGTTAGTAATACACAAAGAAGTTCATCCCCCTCCATAATATACATTACGTTTTGTAAAAGAAATGCACACAGATCACAAGGATATGCTGGAGCTTTGGAGTGAGATTGGGAATCACTGAAGTTTGCATTCATCAGGACATGCTCACTTTGATCAAGCACAGAAGTTTTAACGACAAAAAGTATTGTAGGCGTCTTTTTGAAGATTCCTAAAGTACCCAAACCGTCAGAAATGTCAGGGGCAGCTGACTACCATTGAGCAGAGATGCATTTTCATCCCCAACAGGTCTGCTTTGCCCAGAGTGCTCAAACAGCAGTGTGACTTGGTGGACAATCTCGAACAACCCTGTTCTTACAATGTTAAGGCAGCATTAGTACTGGTCAATAGCAAACTCTGAAATTTCTCAATCTCATGACAAAATCATTTCAATTATATGGTCACCGAAGCCTGTGTCAAACTGAACATGATTGACTTGGCCAACCTGTGAGGTTCGTTCAGCACATTGTGCAAACCATGTCCCACAACTCACACAATGTAATGCACATTATTTGACAATAATGAGATGCTGGCACTGCCTGGATATATAAATTACATATATTTTATAGTTGTGCTCTGGGAATATTTTTAAAAGAATAGCTTATTCTCAGGTGAATCAGAGAGTTCATCGGTTTTACTATTGCAAAAATCCTTAAAATGTGGAAAAGCGTTCCGGGACGCCAGCTGGTATTATGTGGTTGTTGAAAGTGGCTTTAAGAATCATCCTAGATTTACTCTGGCTCTTGCTCCTGAGAATGATAAAATCAAATGAGCAGTTTTTTTTTTCCACTATGAAGCCCATCTTTTGGTGCCAAGGTCAATGTAACTCTTACCCTTGATTTCTGTGCCAAGAATTATTTTAAAAATGTAGTTTTGTTTAAAAAAACCTAAAGAGGTCTAGGCCAGGTACTTTCAGTTATAAACGTACAGTGGAAAGCATTCTTTTTCTCTGTAATTAGAAAACGGAAGTGATCTCCTATCTGTGGGGAGATGTGGGTTTAGTTATTGATTTTACTTTCCCCAGGGATGAGGGTTATATAGTAACAGCTGAGTACGCCACAGTACAGAGGCAATTACATGCATAACGTGGTCACTTGTAGATTAGTTCTTCCTCCCAGGTCAGTGCAAAATTCACACAGAAATGGATGCAACAAACTTGGAACATCAACAACCATTGGGATAACCATCGAGTGGGAGGCGAGGTGAAAAACCTCACTGAGTTAATATCTGCAAAGCGGGGGGTGGGAGATTATTAGATACTGTACTATGTTCAACGTTTTAAAACCCCCATTTTAAATGAAAGTCAACTGAACTGTCCTTAAAGTGCCTCTCTCATACTTCCCCTGCTCCTTGAACAATTATAACTTCACAGAAGATTGTATATATTTGAAGTGATGAAACATTGGCTCAAATAGTATTTCATTTTGTGAAATTAAAACATCTGGGATCTACATTATAGTATAATAATGAGGATTGACTATAGTCTCTTTTGTTAAACTTTAAGATTTAACACTAGTATTTCCTTTTTTTTAAAAAAAAGAGTCGAAAGGATTTCTTTTGCTGAATTATGCTGTGTGGAGCTTTCTCTCTCTCTCTACCTTGCTTCAAATTAGGTCTAAACCCACAGTTTTTGCTGCTCTGCGAGACTGTACATTACCAATAGTTAATTGGCTTTTTTTTTAGAAAACAGCCAAGGCTCCTGTGCCAATACCCTAAGGGTGGACATTGACATGGCACAGAGGGCAACCTGGATACAAAGGCTGCAGCTCCATAATCATAGTCCAGTTGCGCTGGAGCCAGGCAGGAACTGGACTGAGTGCGCTCGGTGTTACATTAGCTCTTGTGTGTGTGTGTGTGTGTATATATATATATATAAATAATACGGCATCACTCACTGCTATAATCTCAGCATTTGTTGATAAACATTGCATTGCAGCCTGAGACTGATTCCCCACAAACAGGGTCGCGTTAAAAATCCAGCGTTAATGACAGGCGAGTTACCAACACAGTTTGGGAACAATCTTACCGCACGGTTTTGCAATGTAAGAGAGTGGTGAGTAAGTCGCCGATCAGACTGCATCCTCTCTACTAGAAACAAGCAGCTCGCTTTAAAGTTAACTTCTGCTATTTGTGCAAGATTTAAACAATTCTCAGTGCAATGAGACCAGGCCGTTGCTTCAATACTGGGAGGGGGGAGGAAGGGTTATCCTTTCACCGCTTAGTTCTGGGTTAGAACCCACCTAGGCTGAATATGCGTTGACAGTGTCCTAAATAAATTTGGGCCAGCTGACTGGATACATACATAGCTGCCCCACCAAAGAGATCCGAACAATGTAGTGAAACATTGTCCTTTCAACTGAAAGACTACAAGCAATGGTTAGTTGATGAAATAATATTGTCACTATTGTACAGGCAGTGTATAAAGGGAATCATGCGTCTAACCAGATATATTTAAATTGCTTGGTGTAATTTTCCAGTTCTGACATGTCTGGAAAGAAGGTGCCCCGAAATGGAGTGGAAATATTGTCCCAAACTTTATAAGCGTTTCTTGGACGTAGGAATGAAAGAAAAATTATAAACTTGCACCTACTATAGTATGTACATTATTTCACTTCCCCATTTCAGTTGCTAGAAGTTGTTGGTTTTACTCATGATTATTGTGTGTTACAGATGTAGAATGTACTTTTAGATTTAAACCCTGCCAAGCAACATGTGCCACCTTTTAATATCTTGTATTTATTTGTTTGTATAGTTGTAGGACCAAATTGGTACGAGACGCGTTTTACACTTCAATGTGAACCAAAACGGAGATTAAAAGTATAATAACTCTTCGCAATTTCACAAGGAATCAATTGTGAATTTAAACACAAGAAATTCAGGCACAATGCTTGCGTTGAAACTACAAGTATACGTTGGAAATGCCTGTTATCAAATGTGATTACATCAAGTATTTTTTTTCTGCCAAGATCACTAGAAAATGGCTCTGTTGAGGCCAAGGTGCACAAACAACCAGCAGCTGATGCCTGTCTGTCCACGTGGAAAATAGAACTCTAGCCCCAAAATTAGGGAGGTTAGGGAAGCTCTACAGATCAAGGGCAAAAACAGCTTATTGTTTCTGAACGCAGTGTTCTAGTGCACAACAAAGCAGGCCCACAATGTACAGTAATCATTCATTAGCTACAGACTCTTTCTTGCCTTCACATGCCAATATTAATTTCTACAGGGTTGCAAATCTGTCTCAATTTGGGTAAATGTTAGATTGTAAACAGGAATTCGACGTAATCGGGCTTCAGCGAAAGGTAGATTGTTAAAAGATAAAATTAGAAAACTGCAGAACAGTTCACAACTCTCCCAATACATGACGCATTCAGCAATTGATTGCTTGTGATAAGATGCTATAAATATTTGCAAATCGTAAGCATTTCAATATTTGAAATTACATTTTTACATTTTCCTATCCCAACCTGCAGGGCAAACAATCAAATCAAAACTGTAAAACAAGTTACCTTGTAAGTAAGGCGGTCTTAATTCTTGGAATGACAATGTCCTTCACACGTTGCTGCGTACTAACACTTTTAAGTCCTTTTTTGTTGTGGAAAAAAAAGGGAAAAATGTCATTATCTTTGAGGCAGGAACCATGAGCTTGAAGGATAATGGCAATAGGGCGAGGCAAGTGGGAATGAACGAACAGCTTACTCTGAGTACGTGCAGACGCTTAAATTACTCAACTGATTTCACCTGTGGTTTCCTGGTCATAGTTGCTACTGTGATGATTACTAAGAGATTCAATGGATTTTGCAATGAGGCAGATTGCTGGAGAAGGGCTGGTTATTATAGGCTCATATAGAATTGATTGGAAGTAACCACATTTGAACCTGATCCAGTCATCACCTGACACTCACACAAGTGTACTTGCAACAGGAGTCACTGGATAGTTGTGATTATAAGTGGAAACGAGCCTGTTTTTTATTCTAGCTATCACAGGGGCCTAAGGCCAATTTTACTGTTCCAACTGGATCATTGGTTGTAATCATCTAATTTAGGGCCGGATCCTTCCAATGTGCACATCCTAGAGCTACAATAGACTTTGATTGTAATCCACCAAGGCATTGAGGTAGCTCAAAAAAATACTTAAATAAAAAGGATTCAAATAGAAAATAGGATTTAAACTGTGATGACCTGACAGTACAGCAGTTCCCCAACATTACAATCGAGTATCAACCTGGACTATAGGCAGCTCAAAGTCTTGAAATTCAATTTGTACCTACAGTTGTCTGACCCAGAAGTGATGGGGTTAACTGAGTCAATCTGACATGTTCTCACACACATTGAATTATTGACAGCTGCTAATATTCAGACATTACTACAAAGAACAGATTTGAACACGATCATGAATGCAATACTGATCAGGTCTAGATGTGCAAATTGTTTTACAAACGGCATTCGTTTGCGTGATCAAAGAATCAAATGAGTAGCTCAGTCTTTGTTTCGACCAATCAACTGTATTAAAAAGCACACACAATATCAGCAAAGCACAAAGAAAAGGAATTCATGTCATATGGTATTCTGGTAAACACTGCATTACAAACAGTTTGTTGTAATATACATTCACACCTGCATCACGTTCAGCAAAAACATTTACAAGCATAAAGAAACCCAAGCCCCTTCTAAAAGTTAACAAAAATAAAAAAGCCTTTTTAAATAAAAAGTATGCATCACTTTGTCTGCTTTCATATAACTTAGCACATGGTTAATTCCAGCAGTGTTTTCAAAGACTTCAGTGATCTACAGCACTTTATTATTCACACATTTTGGAAAAGAATGGAACCACTGTGAAATACATTGTTAAGATTGGAATAAACGTAAGTCAAAAATTCCCACCGAACAAACCTTTTCACGCTGGAAATGTCTAATTTTCATTGCCACTCTTTTACAGTATGTACGTATTTTTAACATTATCATTATTGGTTTACTGATGAATTAAATCACATTAACTGGGTGTAGCAAATGACCAGCAACCTAAACACCTCGTGATAATAATAAACAACAAAGATACTAGAAGTGCTTTGTGTAGAAGATGCAGAGAGAGACCTGGCGTTTGGAGTTTCACATCATTCTTAACAGTCCGTAACTTTTCTAAACGCAGCAAAAATATAGTAACGGTGTCACCATAAATAATTGATTATATTAAGAATTAAAGCAGTTTGCAATTTGTGTTTACAGAAATACACATGCAAAATAATCCATTAAATTCAAGAATCATCAAACATTACACATATCAAAAATACAAGCCCAACAAGAAAAATACTTTCCACGCCTGTAAGTCATTCTCACATTATTGTTAGGGACTTGTTTTGAATACAGTGATACAGATTTAATGGGTCAGTATTGAAGAGGACAGGTTTTGTCTACAGAAGTGTTATCTTTGATTTTTTGCTTTGATTTCTAAATAAATCACTTTAAAACATCCACTGATTGTCAACAAAGTAAATCTCCTCACTTTAAATAATTTGTCATTGTGGACCAATATCATATTTAATTTCCCCTCCCAATTTTCTCAATGCACTACTGAAGGCAGTGTTTGGATACAATTCCACAGACATTGGTAGCTTTCCAGTATCTCACCCAAGAAGCTGTTCTTCACTTGCAAAGTTTAAACAGTAAGTATGACAGCATTACAACAGAGCCTAATCTTATGTCAAAGAACAATTGATCATAAAGAGTGAAAAGCCTGGATGTTTTTCCCACCACTGTTGAAATCAGCTGACTTAAAAGACTTGGGATGAACCTTGGATCGTTTAGCTCTGTATGGACAGGTGGAGCATTTACTATGGAACCATTACAGTAAAAAACATTAAATATCTACTCCAGTTTTAGTGCTAGTAAGTGGACAATTAAGCCTCTGGGGTAAAGTCAGTTAGAGAAACCAATGTCAGGCTGAACACTCGGTTGCACCCACAGAAGAATTGTAACACATTAAATATTAGGTGGATAACAAAAATCCAGTGTAATACCTGTATCCAACACTATTGATACTCTGCTCGTGCAATACAAGTCTGTGGACAAATAATAACTATAAATGTCAACTCCTGCTTATTTTTTTAAAAAAACAATGTTTTCTATGAATCAGTCATTTTGGATTGGCAACAATAGTCCTTGGTTATAGTTCTGAATGTACCTGAGCAGATCTGAGATTCAAGGCAATAATATTTTTATTATTCCTTCATTCCTTTACTCTCCTCATCCCTTTGGTGAGATTATCCAGCAAATAACTGAACCATAGAGACACAGACGATCCAAGGTTTGACCCCTGAGCTGTACTGGTTTTGCTTCTGTGCTGCACAGTCTGAAATAAAAGCCTTCTATATTTAGATTTCAACCAAATTTGGATCCGTTATGATTTGTTTAATTGGGGAAATGGGTCAATACCAAGCTGATCTCTAACATGAAAATTATGAAAGAATATTCTCTCTTTTAATAAATGGGTTAGACTCAGATGGATGAAGTTGTTCTGGGTAAAATGCTAGTAGTTATTCAGACTGATAATACAGAAAGTAGATACAATTATGATATCAACTGTCAACAGTTAACAGCATTTTTATTAAGTTCCTGCTGTTTGTTGACAAATAAAGTGCTCAAAGAACTATTGCCGCCATATCCTTCCTGGTTAGCTGATTTTAGTGGTGTGCTGTGAGGCGTCGGGGGAACATAATGATGTGCAGGTTTCAAAGAGGTTCCTCTTACTGTAATGTGGTCCCATCCACCCTTAAAAGATAAGAATATCACAAAGAGTTAACTCATTGGAATACATCTAATTCATAAATAATAATTAATCATTGCATTTGATATGGTGCTTATCAAGGCACAGAATATAGTGGAAAGTGTAGGTGCCTGTGTACGTTGCAGTACACATTGACTGTGTACAAGGCAGTCAATGTGTGCACAGCAATGTCCAATAAATACCTATGAGATTAATGACCAACTGGCCCAAAAAAAGTTCTTTATGGAATTTTAACACATTTGAATTTAAGGGTCTGCAAGCTATTTGTTTGCAGGATGCCACATAGTGTGCAACAATCCTGAATTTCCCTTCCCTGTCCTAGAGACATTGAGACCAATTATATTACCCCAAATGGTAATATAAATCATAAATTATATTTATTCATCTGATTCTAACCCATTTAGTAAAAGAGCCCCGGCTGAGATCAGCTAACGTTGCATAGTCTTTCTAGTCTATATGGCATAATATTTCACTGGACCTTTACCCATTAATCCATCAGAGGAGATTGAAAGTAGTCTTTTAGAAGCATTGCTATATAAATGCAAGCAAAATATTGAAATCTTTGATACTTTTAGTATTATTCCAGACTGATTATCATAATGTGCAGAGATATTATTCTAATTTGTAAGGCTTAAATATACTTAACTACCGGCTAGTTAAATCCTGTTCAACTTACTCCAATTCCGTAGTCCCAAGAGTGACCCATAGGCTCCAGTGGTTGGACTCCAGTGCGGTGGCACACTGTCCCACAGCTCAAGCTATGGCTACCTTGGACTTTGTCTGCAGTTATCCAAACCTGCATCAAATAAATATCATTTTGGTTTATTGCCACCTAAAACAATTCTTCAAAAGACGTAGATAAACAAGTACCCAAATTCATCAATAGCAGCTTCAGAAAGATCTTTGACTCTGTATTCAACACAAAAAAACACCTTGTCTGGATTCTTGTCTGAAATGAGAATGTCCGAGTCCATTATTTCTATAAGATCCAGTCGTCAATGTCTATCTCAAACTGAAATGATATTTTAGGATTCAGACGAGATGAAGGAAGGAAAGATTCTGTAGGTCTTATTGTTTTTTGGTCAGCCGGGTGTCTGACACGTGCGGAAACCCATTACCATGCTTAAGAGTATGCAAACCAAGCTGAGAATTCCATGCATCCCAGACAGATTGTTGGAGGGAAGTTAGGCCTTAGTTAAAGAGCATCTTGAAGGAATAGATATGCCTCCCGATTTTCTATCTCTGCAGTTTACCAGAATATTAAAATACAATAAACATGAATAGCGAATCCATGAAACAGATACATTTTTGCACAATTAATCAAATGCTGACCTGATCAAGAGGCCCAACAGAGACTTTGCGAACATTATTGGAAACGTATTCCCAGCTGGATCCTTGAGGATAACTTGGTGCAATACCTTGGCGATACCACAAATTACCTAGAATAAAAGTACCAAACTATTGAATTCAGTATTCTGCAGAAATGAAGCTAAAAGTTACATCTCTTCTCAGTGAAAAGGTAGAGGGATATCAGCGAAAAAAAAACTACACATGCTGGAAATGAACAGCAGGTCAATTAGTATTTTCAGGAGAAAAACAGGTCAGTGTTTGGGTAGGTTCTTCATCAATTTTCCTCTTTTAACTGACTGACCTGCTCTAGATTCTTAGTATTTCTGTTACTTCATGTACATACAACATGTTGGTGTTGGAGAACAGAACATCCAATGTCAGAATCAAACATTTCTAGAGTGAAGCCCTTTTCTACTCTGCCTCGACAATGTTTTACCTCCTGCATTAGAAGAGCAATTCTTTCCCCACCAGTGTGACATTACAATTTCTCACATCTCTGTGTCACTAACAACTTAGTCCAAATTGATGCCATGTTTCTGCTGTTGACCCATGCTTACTGACAATGCCTGAGGTCATTCAAACTCATTTCAAACAAAACCTTAACATCAGCAAAAAGAACAGAATTTAAACCCATCAGTCTGTCCTGGCTTCAATTTCGCACCCTACTCAGACTCAGTACTCACTACAGGAATGCCCTGCCGAATAGCCCTGTCTATATTATTTACCATATTGACATCAATGGATTCAGATTATCAATGTATCCAGTGAATACATATAGTGCTGCAACTTACCATTGTCATCCACAGTAAACACGGACATCTGACCCACAGAGACTTGTTTGAGTTTCTGCTTGGCAGGGGGAGGCATGTGATACCAACAATCACCTGATTAAACAAAAAGATACAGCAGCCGATGAAGAATTCCTACAAAATTTGTTTAAGCAAAGGTAACCTATCAGTCACCATAAGAGTATCAGAAGGTACAGGTTACCAAGATACCTACTGAACAAAAGAAAGCCCATTATACCTGAACAATGCACCCAAAAAGGCTTTTTTTTAAAAAAAAGAACATGTTATAGAACAGTGACACGGTCCTTTGCACATTGAGGCTACGTGCAGAAAGTGTTGCTGACATCACATCTTGTGACGGACATGAGCCGTGCACAGGAGGCCAGCCAGTCAGCTGGAAGCCAGAAGTGTTCCATGCTTCTATGTAGCATAGATCCATGGAATAACTACACCACAAACAGACCCAAGTTAAACTGAAGTGCTATTTAACGGCATTGGGCTGTATTACAGAGCATGAGTCTGTTCCACATAATTTTCAAGTTGAAGTAGTTTTAATACTGCAATTCAGATTTAGAGAAGTGCTGCTGAACCACCACTAGGAGGCAACCTGTTACCGCTTTGACTTTGTATCACTTGTAGTGCAACTTTGACTAAAGCAAAGCAAACCTTCTTACTCCAGTTTAAACAGTTCTAATCTCCTTTAGAACTTAACATTAGTGAAGCAACACTTACAGCTCTTCAGAGTGTAAACAGATATTTAGTGGAGCTCTGCTTTACTCAACCTTTACAACTACATAAAAGTTGTTTTTTATTACTTTACAGGTTTATATGATGCTTGTAGTATAACTGTGTTACACTATTTATATTTACGAGTCTAAATAACACTCCATGAAACTTGGAATGCCCAACTAATAAAATCCAATTTGTTTAAGTTGTTCTAGTGGAATATGTAAACCAGCTTGCTGAGGATTGTGCTGTAGTTCCAGCATTAAACATGTAAAAATCTAAACCAGAAAAAATATCACTTTCAAAAATCAGACGTTGAATACTTAAAATACTTCCAATACTTGGAATTTTTCTGTTATTTTGGTAACATATTCAGATAGTATATACTTTTTCCTTCTGATGTAAATGAGGGCTAGCAACCTGTATATTATGCATCCGAGGAAAGAAAAGTTAAAGAAACACTTCGCAAAAGGAGTGAAGAAAAGCAAACATGAAAGTAAGTTAGAAATATTGGTTACAAATTCAATGGAATCTCGTAATGAGGTAGTTGGGAAGCCATTTCACTGCACATGCACACAGAAAGATGGCCAACTCCGTCAGCATTTCAAACGCGCCTACATTAACAAGCATCAAATACAAGGTGGTGATGTTAATTTTGCACAATACATTGGTTAGGAGCATTGCATTTCAATTTGTGCACTTTATATTAGAAAGGACAGCTCAACCTTGTAGAGGATACAGCAGAGATTTACCAAGATGATACCACAGTTATGTGCGTGAACATGAAACATTTCCTTTCATGATGGGACTAGAGCATATGAAGGAGCATCAAATATAATGTTTTTAAAAATATATATAAATGGCTCTGATGTAATAGAGAGAACTATTGTGTTTACCTGCAGGGTTCTGCGAAGAAACTGATCCACGGTAGAAAGCAGCACCATCTCTGGCAATGGCCCAAACCTGGTGGTAGGCACCAATAGAGATGGATACGAAGGGTTGATCTGTACCAATGTGCAGCCATGATGTTCCCTGAAATCCAGTTTACTATTTAAGATATGTTTTGGTGATGTACACAATTAATTTACAAAACATGCTGCAATTATTAAATAACCCTCGAGTGATTAAAACAATAATTTCCCAAATTCAAATTACAGTAAAATCTGAATTTATATTTAGATTAGATTACAATCTTGAAACATCTCCATTTAAAAAAATCAATATAGTATTAATTTCTTTAATAGAGGGGCGTGAGATTGTGGAGTGCCTGTCACGGACAGCCCAAATGAGGTGTTTGAGTGAAATAGATAGGTAATTGTAAAGTAAGTTCATTAAAGAATATGGAAAAATAGAAGGTTAAAAAGATAAGATTAATCCATGAACTAATAATCAATAATGGCCCAATGGCTGAATCAGGGAGCAGTCAGAAATAGATAAAGGGCAAGCACAAATATTTTAAAAGATGCAAGAAAAATAAGAGTGAGATCTGGGTCTTTTACAAAATTAATTTGTGGATACATTTTGCAGTAGAAAAGGCAAATAGAACAACAAATTACACTTGTATAGCATCTTTCACGTCAGGAGGATGTCCCAAGGCCTTGAAACAATAGGGAGATGGACCGCAGATAACAACAGATGGAATTGAAAAAAAATTGAAAAAAAATATTAAAGAGGGACAGAAAATGCCACTGGTGTTTTCACATCATATTTCACAAATGGGAATGTGGAAGTTGAGATGATCTAATCATTTGTCTCAAGATTGTGCTCTCAAGGAGCTCTTGCTGTTAGTAAATGTACAGACAATCATTCTAAGTTGGAGAAAAAGTTTTGCCCTGTCTGTTGAGTTTTATTGAAAGCACCCAGGCTATCCGTGAAGAGACTCAAGAAATTAAATGACTGGAGACACCTGGATCAACCCCTTGATTGTCCAGCGCCTTTCATGTCAGGATGTCCTCCCGACATGAAAGGTGCTGTATAAATGCAACTTGTTGCTGTTGTTGGATCTGAGGGCACTGTTCAGTATTGTTCATTGGGCATTGTTCATTGTTCATAAAGGCTGCTCTAGAAGACTGCAGGATAAAAATATCAACGTTGTATAAATGTGGGAATAATAGACCACTGAATCCAACATTCAACATGTGGAAAATGTTCAAGGTGGCATTGATTTTACAGGATAGCAACATATACGACTAATATGTTATGCCTGTCTGTCAAGGTGAATGCATCTATAGATAACAATAACCCTCTACTATCCCCCAACCTCAATCATATGCCTGTTTTTGAAGTCATTGGAAGAGAGGATTCTTAACTAACCAGTTTAAAATGTGTTTGCTTACTGATTGGTTTTGCTTTGTTACTCCAAGCCTACACAAGACATCTCCTTTGCTGCTGATAGCCCAAAGTGCTGCTTCATCATCCACCTTCTGTGCGAAACTTGGAATCAGTGAGATATCCCGAAGTGGTATTGGTGGAACTTCAAACCAGGGTCCTGTCGTAACTATTTTACACTTTCTACCAACGCAAAATAGAAAAGAGTAGTTGTTCAGTTTTCTATTCTAACACTGATTTGTTCTCTACCAAATAGACTTGTAGTTTTAAAAAGTTAAATTGAAATAAAAGATTTACAACCAAGTCTTAAGTTTCAATATTCACCTTGCCCATCGCCGACGTCGTACAAAATCCTTTATTGTCTTATAACCGTGATAAGAGCTGAAACAGAAAATCTTGTTGGGCAATGAAGGGATGCAATTTACATGTATTAAAACTTTTTTTTGGATAAAGCTGGAATTTTTAAAAACAATGATTTAATATAAAAATTCTACCGATAACTATAAATCTTTTAAATATATCAAATGGGTATGGGGGCTTCACAACAGTATAGTTTTCGTAATAGTAATAGAAAATAACTACTTTCACGGCCTTCACAGAATACGTTGCATACATTGCACGGCAGCAGCAGGGTTCCTTTCCAACTGCTCTGTGCTCTTACAAAAATATCAACAACCTTTTCAGACCCCCCAGAAATATACTTTTTGTTCCATTTCTAAAGTCAGAGTAATCGTTGTTACTACTCAATGGTGGCATATAATTTACGTCATTCAGGATATTCAGCTTTACTTAAACATGCATTTAATTAGCATGCTTTGAAAGCCAACATTTACTACATGCTTTCTTTGGACTCTGCACTATGAATTACAATGCAAAAAGGACTATTAGTTTTAAGTGCCTAAGTTATAAAGGCAACTATTAAGAACAGAAAATAACATATAGAGCTTCAATAACTTCAACAGAAGAAATTTGTTTCATGACAAAAATGTTTCAAGTGCACTCCAAGTTTAGACGACATACACATTGTGAGAAGACAATACTATTTCTGATGTAAATTAAGAAATTGCCAGCACCGTGCAAGATTTAGAACTATAAAGTCCAATTTTTTACAGTTCCAGACAGATACTTACGCAGGAAAATCTGCTGCAAACTGCCAGCCTTCCCTGTCAGTACCACCTGGAGCGTTGAAATCAATATACCAATCAGAGACCTGGCAACAAAACACACACAGCATCTCATCACAGCTTCAAACATCTTGTCAAATTTGAATTCAAGATCCTCATCCTCACTTTCAAGGCCATCCATGGCCTTGCCCCTCCTATCTCTCTGACCTGCTAACTCCCTACCAACCTGCCCGCTCCCTCCATTCAGCGGGCTCCAGCCTGCTCCATGTCTCCCGCCAGACCCGCCCTACCATCGGTGGCTGGGTTTTCAGCCTCTCTGCACCCACACTCTGGAACTCCATCCCACGTTCCCTTCACCTCGCTTCCTCCCTTGCCTCCTTCAAGGCCGGTCTCAAGACCCTCCTCTTCGATCGTGCCTTCAGTCGCCCTCCCACCTCTCTGCCTTCCCTCAGCCCTCCCCCATGCTCGGGTCCTGATCCCTGACTGTTCAGCGCTTTGGGACGTCCTCCCGACGTGAAAGGCGCTCTATAAATGTAATTTTGTTTTGTTGTTGTCTTCTAAATAATATTTACAGAAGTTTGCAGCTGCTGAGACAGAAGCAAGTTTGACGGATGGGTTAAATCCCTCACCAGCAAATGTGAATATTAGGATTTGTGCACGTTTGCCTTCGGAGCACCTAGGTTATCAATAGAACAGTAATTTAATGCCTTGCGACTGAAACAAGGTATCATATTCTATTTGCAGTTGATATAGTGCCTTATCACGTCTTTGAGACGTATCAAAGCACTTCACGGAATATACAGGTACCGTAAAGTGAATTGACTGTATATTTTGTGGGCAAAATATGGAAGTGTTTAAAGTTATTGGACGTGTTCGATAAGGTGGACATTAATAGGTTGTTTCCATTCCTTGGTAACGTCCATACCGAAGGCGTGTTAAATATAAGAGGGTGACTGACGGTCTGACGGAGGGTTTAGGAGGCTATTCTGGACGGATGAGATCAGATGGGCCGAAGGACCTTCTTCATCCAAACTACTCTTGTGAGGGAGGTTCTTTAACCAGAGGGTGGTGAGAATGTGGAATTATATTATTATTATTATTGCTTCCAGAAGCCATTGGGCAAAGCAGAAAGCATTTAAGAGGAAACTCGATGCATCCTTGAGGGAGACCTGTCTCATCGGCGTGACATAAGAGGGGCGGACCTGGAAGTGGGGAATTCTTTTCCACATGGAGTCAATTTCCACATGTATGCGGATAACACCCCACTCTACATCTCTGCCTCCACCCTTGACTCCAGGACCACTGCTGTCCTGCCAGAATGTCTGTCAGACATCAAGACATCAACCACAAGGGACACTGTGAGGCACACTTACCCATATCCACTGTGACGGTGGTTTAGTGTGTGCCTTTGTACATTCCTGTAAACCTGATGCATCACTCCACATATACCTATCTGTTGGCAGGCCTCTGCAAAGAAAATGTTAAGTTGAACCCCGAAGAGATATACAAAATGAAATCTGTATTATAGCACATAAAGTACAGCAAATCTGTCGCCACAAGAAATTATCTAACATTAACTAATATTCAGATACTTTTCTTGCCTCAAAACCTCTGCGAGTAGAGTACAGAACGCAATCTTCTATGCAAGTATGTATCTAAATCACATTTCATACCTACTGCTGTATCCACTAACAGGATTCCAACGCTGGTTTTCATAAATGTAGACACACTTCACATCGGTCTGCGTGTAAATATTATCAGTGCTGCCAGCCAGGCCTGAAGAAACAAACGGCTCATGTCACAAAAATAACACAGATTTCTGAAATGCCTTCAACATTTCCACACAGTTCATTGCCTCAGATGTTCTCCATGAGTAAATGTTCGAAGAAACTATACAAATGCAAATTGTCATTGTTGTTGGATGGATTAATACCAAAGCAGCTGATCTTGAATTATCACAACCTGCTGGACTTTCACAGGCTAGTTTCCTCAAAGCAAGCTCAGCTCAGGAAGATCTCACATGATGTCTTCTTACACCCTTCAAGGAATCTAATTTTGGACATTCTTGCACTAACGTGACACTACACTTACAGACTGCTATACACCAACATATGAAGATTATAGCACTGTTTAGTAAGTACAAAACGGCAGTTTGAAAATAATAAAGACAAGGAGAAAGTGAGTGAGACAGGGAGAGAGTGAGTGATGCAGAGAATTATAGGAGAAATTTCCAGAGGCTAGGTGCATATGTGGCGAAAGGAATGGAGAGAGTGAGGAATGTGTAGTTATTACATAAAAAGTAATGTTAAAGAAAACCTTGAAAGAAACCGCCTCCATATCCACCAGTGTAAACCCAGGCTGTGTGGTTGTATCCAATACCCCACACTATCCCTTGATTGTTACATTCGACTAAACGAAGATGTCCTCCAATCTGACGCCAAAACCTAAAGGAAGGAAATAAGTTTGAACATCTACAATACAAATTTACATTTATATAGCACCTTTAAATCAGAAGGACATCCCAAGGCTTTTGACAATACCCGTTTTGGTACCTGAGTTGGGGGTGGGAGCTGAGAGGGGAAGGAGGGGAAAGATAACTAAATGGCAAAGAGGAAGGTTATGGGACAGATGTGAGAAAAAGGTGAGGAAGGGAATTAGAGGGACTCCAGGCTGTAGTTCCAGAGAGAGGCAAATGGGCTCAAAGTCCCACTGCCAATGGTGAGGTGGGTAGGGCCGGGCACAGAACATGAAGCAGAATAGTCCCCTCTGAACACAGGGAGCGCATATGCACAAAACCTGTTAGGTATCTTTATAAGAATTTGATACAATTAAGTAGGGAAGTTTTGTAGTCTGGAGGACGTCCAGATTTTATGCTCCCTACTGCCCTTTCCTGTTTGGTTAATGAGATTATCAAATCTAATGTCGTGAAGTTCACATTCCAGAGGCAAGGAAATGGGATTGTGGCTCTACATTTCTTTTTGTTTTAGTTGGTTGTTGGGTGTAAAGGTAACTATTGTAATTTGGAATCTATGGGTGATTCCACTGCCTTTGCCATCCCCTTTTGAATGGCTTTGCTGTGGGTTTGTTTGCACAGGATTAATGCTCAATGTTTGTTCTCCATTTGTAACTCTTACACATACCGAAGAATTTTTCCTGCCCTTTCAAATAATATTAGCTTATATTTACCAAACAAACACTGTCTTTATATCAAAAACTGATCTGGCGTTTAAGAAAAGTCAGCCTCATCTCCAGAGTAAAAACTTACAATTGATCCGATGGCATGGCATGTGATGTTGATTCCAGACTCTGAGTTGGCTCACTGACAAAGATGTCTCCTTTACAAGTGATGGACCAAATGGCCTGACTGGATGGGGATCCTTGGATTTCTCGGCTGTCACAACATGCTAAACTCAGGATGGCAAGCTGGGAAAAGGAACATAAAACAATGTAATACTACAGTGAGTACATAGTTTAAGGAGTCACAATGACTTACACACTTTGACTTGTAGACTAAGTGCTTTTCATCCTGGGACAGTGAGCTCTGTATTTCTTTCAAACCACTTGACAACCAAATGATTACATAAGTCAAATCACAACTGCATTACCTAGTTTAGGACATCAGGTAAATTGATCATTTCAGTTCTTACGAAAAGTAATCTAACAAATGAAATCATATTTGTTAAAGGCCCATGATAGTCAAGTTGCTGCAATACTTTGATAAAATTCTGTGCGGTGCAGAGTTCCCTGACCCAATATATAGCCCCTAAAAATCAAACCAAAGGCTTTCAACTTGCTGATCCAAACTATAAAGGCAATTACATAGAACTCAGCTCCCAGTATGTTTTCACAGATGTATAATAGTTTGTATAATTCTCAGTTTAAGAAAAATGTATCATTCAATAGAGATTCCAGAATCACTTTTTTTAAGTAATGTTAACATTAAGGTCACCTTGTGGTTTCCATAAGGCAGATCTTTACTATTTTGGATACTTACCCAATCATTCATTTCCTGCTCAGTGCTGGTTGCTAATCTAATTGGCCATCTCTGTTTTGTCCTCTCTGGGGTGTAAATAGCAAATGAATGCTTGGTTTCAATGGCAATCGGTACCAAAATTGTAACTTCATTTAAAAATAAGTGCAGGTACTGTAGTGATAAGAAGACAAAAATAAGCCTGTCAGATACTTTCAAATAGATTGGATTAAAGGAGGTGTGAGTTTCACTCAGGTAATAGCAGCCTTAACGCTGAGCCAGAGGATGTGGGTTCACCAGCTAGACAGACACCTCAACGTTGTACAGAGTGAGCGTTATTCAAGGTGCTGTCCTTTGGATGAGACATTCAAACGTTTGCCTGATGTAATCCAGATGGATCGCCATGGAAGTATTTTTAAACACATGGTATTCTTCCACTTTGCGAGCTAACTTCCCTCACCACAAACAAATTGGTCATCTCATTGCTGCCGCAGATTTGCTATACCACAAATTCTAAATAACTCACCGTGTCAAGTGCTTTAAGACTGCACAACATTAACCGCCATATCAAATCCACATGCACTTGTTTATGCAAAGCACACAATAGCTGTGTTTACACATGGTCCTATGCTGCTGGGAATCTGCTGTCAGGCATCTACTAGCTGCTCAACAAAATGGTGGACCTAGCAGGGTAAATTTGCTGGCAATTTCTGTAAGGTAGAAAATCGACAGCACTAACATGAGATCCTTTCTACACCTTAATGACAAGGAATCAGTTTGTTATAGCATGGTACGGTTAATTGCAATCTTCAAATCTTATTCTTTGTTGCATCTCTTCATTATGATTCTCTTTAGGTCTCCCATATCCGACACGAAAAATGTAGCAAGCAGCTTAATTTCCATTTTTTGCCAAGTTTCTATCTCTCTGGCTCCGCGCAAGTGCTGATGCTTAGTCACAAGGAAAAGAGGCAAGCAGTGCAAGAAGGAATTACGAAAGGGAGTGAGAATACAGAAGAGGTAGAAATAGATGTGTGCTGCAAAATCGATATTAAGCTTTCCATCAGCTCTATGAATGCTGGGATAAGCCTGCCCCTTAACAGCAAATTATACTTGTATAGCTCCCTTCACGTCGGAAAGACATGCCAGGGCGCTGGACAATCGGGGGTTTGAAACCCAAGCTGGGGTCAGAAGGGATGGAGGGCAGGGGGCGTGGGGGTTGGTGGTTGGGGGTGAGAGAGTGGCCGAAGGCACGGTCGAAGAGGAAGGTCTTTAGACAGGACTTGAAAAAGGCAAGAGAGGGGGTGAGGCTTTTTCTTGCTGGAGAATAGAATGAGGGAATAGCAATAAATCCATTCTCTGCGTAAGTCTGGACAACAACATATGAAATGGGTCAGAAAACACATGAAGCAGTTGGTCTGCCAAGAGCCACAGTGAAACACCCCGCTGGATTTGAACATTCTACCAGTATAAACCAATCGCAGTGCATGGTGTTAGAATACAACTTTACAATAATGCATAGTTTACAATGCAAGAGAGAAAACGAACTCACCTTCTTTTCATCATTGAATGTATAGTAAATGAATAGGATGCCATCCCGTTTACCATCATTCCCTGTAAACTGTTCCAGTGCAACCTTAACATCTATCCACTTATGTGGTTTCCCATCTCTCCACCACTGCAAGCTTCCCTTCTTTATCCACACAGACTATAATAGGAGAGGGGAAAGAGAGAGAGGGGAAATAGTAAAAAAAATAGCAGTTAGTCATTGCAACCCACAAGTGTATGTTCACAGATGTATAAATAAATGGACCACATCCCAGCCTACCCGTTTTCAATCTAATCACAGAATTTGAGACAGGATAATTATCTGTGAAACACAAAATTGCTGAAGATTTTTTGATTAAAAGATTGACACAGATGTAACTAGGATCCCCCCAATATTACAATGTACAGTAAATACAATTGAATTTAAGCTACTGAGACCTCTGGTGCTGAGGAAATTGTGCAGCTTACACTGCAGATGCTAATTATAAGTACCAGCCCCACTGATTAAGGAAGGTCACTGTAGGCTAGTAATGCAAACACGTCACTAGCTCATATAGTAAGATTGAAAACTCAGCTCAAGTCCAGATAAATAACAATTGTAGCAATATTTGCACCTCCTTGGAATTTTATACAGAAAATGACTTTTCTGGCAGAGGAGACAACACACCTTTTGCTTTTAAGCACCGCTGCTCGAGTCCAAGGTGGTGTGGGACAGGCTGAACAAACATTTGGAGCCATCATCAGCATTGCACATATTATAATCAGAAAAGGAGCAGTCTTTCCTGATAAAATATGACGTAGAGAAACTGCAAGCTGTTAAGAATTCAAGAGTCATTCTTAACCAGTTTACCTGCTCCACAGCCTGCTCGTAATGCTTAAAGTTCTCCAGTTCTCGTTTGGTCCTTTCATTTAATTGATGAACAATCTGTTTCCGCCAAACTGTTTGCTGGGTTGGAGAATAGGGCATTGAGAATGACTGCGTAGAGAGGGGCTGACCTGAAAATTATGACAAAGTAAACATTGTAACAGAGATACTTTGAATGTTGCTTTTACTTATTGTTTTCTCTGCTTCTTTGAATTTCTCACTCCCTTCCTCTGTCCTTTCTTACCATTTTTTTCTTATTCTGAATCATGCTGATAGGAAGTGCTTCTGATCATGTTTTGTATTTGCATATCTTTTCAAACACCTACCACTCATTACATTAAACAAAGCTTGTTTAATAATTAGTTTTTTTTCACAGCTTCCAGAAAAAAAAATATTGCTGCATTGTACCCACATTTCATTTCACTTATTCCTGACTGGATATTAACCTCCAGCATTGGCGGTAGCATTGGCATTAACAACAAATATGTTTTAGAAGAAGATTGCTACCTGAATGGACAGTGAACCAATTCAGCTGTGAGTGAGATTCTATATCACAACCCCCTCCACTGATCCAAGCCCAGAGTGGGCGCTCCTCGGACACGTAATGCTCTTCAATTCCAAAAGAATAGGTTCCTGCAGACGAAATGCTGGATGTTTCAGTTAAATCTGAAGTTATTGTGTTTGAGTCGGAATGAACACCTTCATTGCTATCCCCTGGAGGACGATCTCGATATGTCAAGTTCTCAGATCCGTAAGCAGAAACGACTGGTTCCAAATCTGACGGCGTTCGTTTTTGTGAAGAGTCTTCGACTGTAGAAACCGTCTCAAGTACATTCAGATGAGACACAGTGTTATTTTCACATTTGTTCGGTGTGGTCGATCCAGAAGCAAGGATCTCTCCATCTACTGCAGTTCCAGGGCAACTTACATTCTCGCCAATAGATTCAAGAACATTTTCAGTTTTCTTTGCTAATTTATCCATTTCAGAGGAAAATTCAACATCAGTATCAGTGGATCCTAGAGAAGGTACCCTAACTTCATCCCCAAAGAAACAGCCAGCGCTATAATCAAACGTAAAACATAACACTGAATCAACATTCATGATTGTAAATTCAACTCATTATTTGCAAATTTTTCAGATAAATGCAACCGAGTCTTTGAAGGCACATTGCATAGTAATTCCCAGGAAATAATATAATTTAATTTACGTAAATATAGTGCCTTGCATGTCAGGAGGACATCTAAAGAAGTAAAGAATTCCTTTACAGTTATGTTACTTTTTGCATTTAAAGTTTGGACAAAAGGTATTCCCTCTGGATTTCAGCTAAACTTTGAATTGAAGCTAATGCAAACATTAATTTCTGTATGTGATGCAACCACTATGACAGAAGAATCATACTTCAATCACATTCTTATCTTATTATTGATAATATTAAAACCGGGTTACAAAGAACCATCCTGAATTTTGAGAAAAATCTAAATCTATGGATGGTTGCATTATTACGGAGAGTTACCTTGTGAGACTGTTGGCACTGCCTGCGTGAGAAGCTCGGTCAGTTTCTCTATTAACTACTATTGGTTTCCATGTCTTTCCACTGTACTCCGTAGGTGTTATACCTTGACGAAAATAGATAGTGCGATCTTCATAGCCAATTCCCCAGACCTTCAATTAGAAAGAGACAGAAATAGGATGTGATCCTAGAACTCAAAATGTGCATTTCATTTTAGATCTGACCCGAATCACATTTCAACAAAAGAATTAGCAACTCAGTGAAGAAACACAATACTGAATGAAGTTAAATGAAGGTGATGGGAGCACAACCCAAACTGACCCTTTTTGCAAGAGTATTGTTGTAAATGAGCAGAGAAACCTGAGGTGTACTAGGCTTTTTCAGGAAAGGCCAAAAAAAACAATAAAAATAATTTGGTCACTCAATCCCCGACTGTTTGTGGGATACTGGTGTGTGCAAATGGCTGCCACATTTCTCCCACAAATGCAGAATCAATTTACTTTACCGTATATTCTGTGAAGACGTCTTGAGACGTCTCAACAATGCAATGAGGCCCTATATCAAATGCAAGGATTATTATATATATATATATAAACCAAAGATAAATGAGCAGGTAAAATGAGCATTCTCACCTGATCATTTAATCCCACATTCAGCATCACCATCTCGATATTCATACCAATCCAACCTGCTCCAATGGGATTCTCTGAACAAACACCTCTTCGAAACCAAACCTGTTAAAATAACGTTCAGTCAACCTATATCCATCTTGAATTAAGTTTATTTTCCAGTTTTTGCTTCTAATAATGTTGTCCTCCAGAATGCAGTACTGTTAATTATTATCCTGACGTCCTCCCGACGTGAAAGGTGCTATACAAATGTAATTTTGTTGTTGTAAACTTTTGTTGTTTCTTACAAACATTTCATGAATAGAGAGGAGTGGAGTGCAGAAACGAAAATTTCAGAGTACGTGTTGAAATGGCTCAAAGTTGCATTAATTATTGTCTGTGCATATCAGTTACATATTTCTGATGAAACATTTGAGATTGTGATATTTTATTGTATACTAACTATAAATACTGGAATGGCAATTTCACATGTGTAACGTGACTTATGCACACAAGTACTAAGAGTTTCGCATATATGTACTTACTCTTCTGTCTCGTGAGATAGCCCACAGTACATTGATGCCAACTGAGACATGGACAATGCCATTGTCAGAGTCTGGAGGTTCAACGATCTTCCAGGAATTCCCTGTATACAAGTACCAGAGAAATCAAAATGTAGTGAAAATATCTCCATTATTATAGATTGGTATTATGAGGGAATGGAAATCAAATAAATTCAGGAGATAAGGGAGAAAACTGGAGCAAACAGTAGATTAACATGTCAAATTAGAGGAGAATAGTACAAACATCACAGCTGAATTACAAACATCTCCCATGAAACAGGGGCCGTACCTTTAGGGTTTTCTCGGTTTACTCCTTCCCGCACCATCAACTGACCCTCCCATAATACAGCACACAACAGGTCACCGGGGCCACAGCTGATCTGGATTACTTCACCAAGAGCAGGAATTTCAGTCCATGATGAACCCTCAGGATTCTGATCATTTACATTTTCCCTGTAAAATATCTGAAAAAAATGAACATACTGTCAATTCTGCTTAATTGTTATTTTCCCCTGAAAAAAATACTCTTTAAGGAGTTAATAAATGGGTCCAACCAACTCTTCTTTGGCTGAATAAATTACTGGGATGTTTGCACTTGGTATTTTTAAACACATACATTACTACAATGCTGTCCCAAATATATTGGCTAGAACTTTAAAGACCTTTCCAGAATAGCCAGTAATCAGAAAACATAAGATCAAATTCTGATCCCTGCTCTGTCCTATCAATCTCTGTTGGGCAGCAATACAAAAACTTACGGAGAGAGATGTAATCATTAGTCAGCCCCCTTGAAAAGGTGTGTGTGGGGCAGACAATGATAGGATCATGCTTAACAGTGAACTCTCCACCCCCCTTGGTCAGCTATCAACACTCACTGTTCAAGTTAAATGTGAAGAACTAGCCTTTGGGGGGAGATACCAGAGGCCTGACATGAAGTGTACCTCAACACTAGTCACAACCTTCAGAAGAAATGGAATGAATGTTTTTTGAGAGACACACTAATCCGTAAATTGTGACATTCATGATATGTGGTTGGTGGAATACAAGTGCAAGTTGTTGTTGCAGTAAATTATACAGTATATTCAATCTTTGGTGTAACAGAAAAGCACAGACAAAAACGAGTCTTGAACCAAGTTTTGAAGGAGGCACACATTTATCAGGCAATTCTTCCATAAAGTAACCCCTAGGAGCTTCATGTGACAAAACTATTTACTCTATGAAATCATTTACTCTATTTGGATCTTAAAAATGTAACAATGGAGATTATCTCAGTACAAAAGTAGGATTAAAACAAATCTGATTCAGGAGACATCCATCCTAAAAGAGGAACTGCCACTTGTGCTACATTGACACATTTCAACACAAATCGCGGTAGTGCTTTGTGTGTTTAGGAAAACTAAATAAAAAACATTTGGCAACTGTTTTTCAACATTGACGACCCCATGAAGTTTCTGAAATGTACACTGTACCTTCCCTTGTACTGTAACAGCCCAGACTGAAAGATGTCCTGCAGGCTCATCAGTAATTTCCCATCCTCCAACTGTGATGTCATTAAAGGGATCTGGTAGTTGTTCATCTTCTCGTGAAGGAATCTGAATGGTAAAGGATTTAAAGACCGTACATAACAAACTTCCATTTCATGTTAAATTTGCCCACAAAATATAGTCAATTCACTTTACAGTATATTCCGTGAAACCCTTTGAGAAGACTCAATGACATGATAAGGCACTATATCAAATCAAGGATTATTATTAATAGTAAATATTAACTCATAATCACACAGCACTGGGCAGCCTCTTAGTATGTAATGGTGCATTGTAGTCTATGATTATTAAAACACTACTGTTACCTGAAACAAAATAGAACTGTATACCTTAGCCCACATGTCACACGACTTGTATTTTCTGTATCGGATCCATCGTCGGCGACGCACACAAGAATTCCATCTTTTACCTTTTGTGTAAGTTGCAGGAAAATCGATAGCATACGTCCAACCCTAGATAACAGATGTGATGCAGTTCTGATACAGATAACCATCATCAAGCCAAACCTTATACAGAATTCTAATAAAACTGATGATAATTAAGTGAGTGAAGCGCACACTGACACTCATGATTTTAATGGAACATGTTCCACTATGTGACGTTCTGAAGAGAACCAGACTCTCTTACCCCTTTTTCCGTTGGCTCTCCTCCAATATTTTCATCCACATACCAGTCAGATTCCCATTTCCAGTGGTCAGATTGGAGCTTGAATTCAGGGATCGGTTGATGTATCAGCCCTGTGACATCGCTCCATTGCCAGCGGTCACTTGGAAGCAATCGTTCGCTATAACCATCCACAGGATTCCAACGCTTTGTAAAACAAACCCCAAACAAGGTTTGAAGCAGACTGTACACAGAAGTTACTTTTTTTTAATAAATTGACATACACAAGCTGTCATTCCTTCTAATCTAACATTGCTATGAAGAACAATTTACATTATTTCCCTACTGAAATATTTATACCATATAGTCCATAAAGTAGTAGGTTTGAGCCTGCTTCAGTTCGGTCTTAAGCTGAGCTCCCTGAATTTAACTGAGGCTGGAGTTTGGTGCTAGAATTGCCCTCAGTATCTCTGGATGAGGAAGGGGATAGTCAGCATGGGTTCCATCATGGGTTCTCATTGCTATTTTCTGAAAACATCTTTGTGTTTGTTGGATGAGAACAGCATCACATTCAGCTATTGCCCTCCACATAATCAAATAGCCTTCTAATCCTCACTAAGCTTAACACATGAACAATGCTCACTTGAATGAGGTACTGAAGGTACTCTGTGAAACGAAAAATGGAGTTAAATGTTTTCAGAGGGGGATACAGGAAGAAAAATTGAAAACTGAACCAATTCCATACCTGATTTTCATATGTCTCCTCTTGATATCGGATTGGAACATCATTGAAGTAGATACAGACGTAGACCTGTTGGTCACATGCTATTCCCCAACAACACTGTTTGACAGCTGCCAACCTCTTAAATTCTAAGTTCCCATCTTTGCACAACTCCCAATACTGTCCAGCTGTAGATAGAGTATACACTCTTCCATGTACATCCACAGCCCACAAGAGGGAACTAGGCATGGCAATATCTAGTAAGAAAAAAGGAATGTGGTGAATAAATTAGACCATATACCAAAACCCTCATATCTCAATTTATTCCAGTATCGCAGCGTTAATATTTCAGTGTTAAATTTGTTTATCATGAAACCAATTCTAAAAGATAATTAACAAACCAGAAATTTATTCGGAGCAATCTTTGATGATCAGTCTTTATATCCAGTTATCCTCTTGCTATGCTGTACTGTCCTCAGTTCATTAAAAATGGACATAAAGCCCAATGATGAATTTTCCAAAGTAACAGTAATGACATTTTGGAAAATTCTGGCAGTGGTGGGCGGATCTTATGTGTTAATGTTACCATTAAAAAAATATTGCTGTGGGAGACAAATCTCCCCTCACTCTCACTCTGCCAGCTCTCTGTCACTTTCTTCCTGGGTACTCTGTCATTTTCCTGACTTGTTCCTTCCGTAAGCCCACACTATGCAGCATCTTTCTTGGCAGCTGATTTTGTCTGCAAGCTGGTCTCCATTCCAGTTTCATTTTACACAGGTCCCTGGGACCTGTAACCATATACTGTTTCCAATAACACTGGTCTCTAGTATTTCTCAGTGAATCATGGAAATAAACTGCTTGTACAACAAATATTGTTGTGGCTCACACTGGAGGGTGACCCTGCATTACCCAGTGGTATATTTTCAATAAAATGCTATCCAGCATTTATTTTGTGTTTCACACAATACCTATTAAACCTGTCATACTCCAAATCTTCTACTTAATATTCCTATCACGTTATCAATGAAAGCCTACTTGTTTGAGCTCAAATGGTGATCAGATATGCCAACCATAGTTTTGAGTGTTTTCAGATAAACCAGAATTACTCAATGATTACTCATTGCAAGATCTAAGTAGATGCTGTATTATGCTGGAGAACAAACCTGCTGGTGAAGCCCAAGGACAATTGCCGAATAAAGGTTCTACACCAACAATTGCATACCCACCCACAATTTAAGAATGGCCAATTCTTTAAGGGGAAAGAAACGATTATTTATCTCTTAGAATAAGAATATATAGTTTTGATTGTTCCCTTGGGACGTCCTCACGACATGAAAGGCACTATACAAATGTAATTTGTATTGTATAAGGAACAACATAGGAACTCCTTAACTCATGGAATTTCAGCACTGATCACGACTGGTAAAAGAGAATTCAAACATCTGTTATATCTTCGCTTACCTTCTGACATTGCTTAATCGGAGGTCTAGTTGGATATTTAGAATTAAGACACTACAGCAACTTTATAACATTGATTTTACATTGGTGCAATGGAAAGATATACACCACACTGTTAAGTATATGGTTGTTGTGTGTTTCTTAAAATAGCATGAAAGCAATATCCTACAAACCTGAATTAAAATACTTTTGACTTTTTGGGAGGTGGGGGCGGGCCGGGGGGCATTTCACCTGGATTACCGTGGGGCCTCAAGGATTTTCAAACGAACACATTAAGGAAATGTGTACCACCAAAAACGTGCATTTATATAACGACAACAACAAGATCATAGTTGTATAGCGCCTTTCACATCGGGAGGACGTCCCGAGGCGCTGTCCAAGGCAAAGGAGCAGCCTGTCAAAAGAGCTTACGATACTGGACACCGCGCAGGAAAGCGACGACGACAACAACTTGCGTTTATAGAGAGCGCTTGACACGGGCAGCGCCTCAGAGCGCGCAATGGCGAGCGGAGCCAGACGGAGATGACCGATAGGCACGGCCGAAGAGGAGGAAGGTCTTCAGTCCTGATCTAAATGAAGGGGGGGGTAGGGGGTGGGGGGTAGGGAGGGGGGTGGGGGGGGTAGGGAGGGGGGTGGGGGGCTAGGGTGGGGGGTAGGGAGGGGGGTGGGGGTAGGGAGGGGGGGTGGGGGGGTAGGGAGGGGGGTGGGGGGGGTAGGGGGGGGGGGGGGGGGGGGGGGGGGGGGGGGGGGGGGGGGGGGGTAGGGAGGGGGGTGGGGGGTAGGGAGGGGGGGGGGTGGGGGGGGGGGGGGTAGGGAGGGGGGGTGGGGGGTAGGGAGGGGGGGGGGGTGGGGGGATTAGGGAGGGGGGTGGGGCAAGGCAGAGGGGTTAAAATTTCACATTTAAATCCATGCCTTATAAGGAGGTTGAGGAGGATGTCGGGCTCGGCTGAAGAGGATGCGGGGAGACAGGTAGCAGCCACCAAGTGGTTCGAGGGGGGCGGTGGGGAGATGGCAAGGGCAGGGGGGCGAGGGTGAGGGTGTGGGTGAGTGCCAGACAGCAAGGCCGAGGGTAAAGGCAGCAGCAGGTACAGCACTGGGGAGCAGACAGACAGACAGACAGACCCGGGGGGGGGTGATGGTGAGGCCCGGGGGCAGGTCAGAACCTCAATTAAAACTCTGAAATCCAAACCCTCCCCGGGGAGGCCTCGGGCTCGCCCTGCAGCCCAGACCGTGACCGGCCGAGAAGCTAACGAACACTCACTTCACCGGAGACGGCGGCGGCGGCGGCGACGGCAGCACCACCGCACCCGCCATTCAAACCGGACCAGCTTCCGGAACCTTCTCTGTTGACATGTCGACAGCAGTCGCCGCCCGAACTCCCGCCTCCCTCGGCACTCTGATTGGTCGGCTCGGGCTCGGGCGCGCCTCGGGCTCGGCTCGAATCGAACGGCCTCATTGGTCGGCTGTGCTGCCAATCAGCGGGCGACGCGTTGACGTAATCCGCAATGCGTAACAGCGTACCCCTCCCTCCCTCCCTCCCTCTGGTCCAGGGCAGTGCACGGGATGCTGTTGATGAACCAACCCATTGGGTGGGTTGTCTGATCTGCCAGTTCATGCTGTTTGGGATATGATGTACCACCGCGCATTGTAACCTGCACTAACCTAACGAATGTAATAACCAATGCGCGTCAAAGCGCTCTGAGACGCCGTCCGGCGTGGAGGGCGCGATATACATCCGCGTTGTTGTTGTTGTTGTTGTATGAGGCAAATGTGATTTCAATTAATAGAAAGGAATCCGACCCGGTCTTCAACCCTCGGGACCCCTGCCTCGACTCCAGATGCACATTCCTGAGCGATATTGTAACCTTGGGTACCCAGCTAGGACTGGAGGGGGAAAGGTCTGCAAAGCACCCATGTGCCAGGCCTAGGAAGATCAGGAGCAGACTTCCCAATTAAGGAGGATAAGCTGCTCAAAGAACGTCCCAAGGCCAGTCCTGAATAACATCATCATAGACAAGACAACGGGGACTCACCTTATCAACCCCGGTCGGGCTGGCGCTAAAGGGTATGTGTGGGCACAGCTGGAGACGCACAAGACTCCCGTGTTTTCATTTCAAATTAATTCTTGAGACGTGAGAGACACTGGCAATTATTGCCCATCTCTAGATTAATAATAAATAATCCTTGCATTTGATATAGCGCTTTTCACGTCAGGAGGACGTCCCAAAGCGCTTCACAGAACACACTGTAAAGTGAATTGACTGTATATTTGTGGGCGAACGCGGCAGCCAATAGCGCACAGCAATGTCCCACAAACAGTCATAGATTGAAAATGACCAATTTATTATTGTTTTTGGTTTTGGAGGGATTATTATTAGTCTCTGTGTGGAGTAAGGAAACTTGCCCAAGGTTTTGCCCTCTGCCTGGAATTGAACTCAGGTCTCTCGCTTGCAAAGCGAATGCTCTAACCACTGAGCTACAGGACTCCACAATTAGATGGGTTCTGACGAAGGGTCGTGGACCCGAAACGTCGACTCACTTTCCTTTCTCCGTAGATGCTGCCTGACCTGCTGAGTTTTTCCCAGCTCTCTCTGTTTTTGTTTTAGATTGCCTCGAATCCTTCCCTTTAAATTGCTGTTGTCATTGTGTGCCCCGCTCCCAGAGTAAACTCATTTTTTTCTTTCTATAATATTCCGCTATTGCCTTCTTTTGTCTTGTGCCATCAACACCTCTGATCTCATCATCTTCTGTCCTCCACCTAAATTTTTCCCTTTTCTTTCCCTTGCCTCCTTCTCTGCTTGTCCTTATAATCTGAAGAAAGTTAGCTCTCATCCAGGACTTGATGTCTGACAGACATTCTGTCAGGACAGCAGTGGTCCTGGAATCGAGGGTGGAGGCAGAAAGGTAGAGCTGGGTGTCATCCACATACATCCGCGTTTTCAAGAAATTAAATGTATTTCATGGTAAAGAGGTACAGAATATAAATGCATGTTGTGACTCAAGGGCATGAGTGCCTCATTCATATAAGGCAGTTATTACAGCACAAGCCAGATCATTTAATTTTCTCATTTTCACCAATTTATAACAGAAAACAAAATTAATAAATCAAACATTAAAAAAATTGACATTCTAAAGTTTGACTTTATCCTTTCAAGATAAAAAAATCATCTTCTACAGGCTTTTCTTTGTGGATTTCATCTAGTTCCCTTCTTCCTTGATTTCTCGTGGTCATGAGCCAACTTAGATGATAAAATCCCAGTTTATTCTCGTGCCAGCAGAATATTACAACGTTCATTATAAACAATACAATGTGGGCTTTCAGACATAATCCTGCTCTAGAGCTCTGGTTTTCCCTGATGTAGTAGATTCAAGCTATGATATTTAATGTGATTTAGACATTACAGGCTGGACAGAAACCCCAAGTACACTATTATCTTCTCTGTTGAAGGAAAACATTCTTGACACATGTTAATTCATTTGTTCAAAGTAAACAATCAGCACAGCTGTTGAGATCATCTTATTGATAATATTTTTTCAAAACCTCATAAAGGCTATTTTGTACTTAAAATACTGTAGCAATGAATATGTGCAAGTATCACTGGAGGTACAGATTTCCCCCTCGCTCCACTCAGAATATCCTCCAAACTCTTTATAAGGTGATTATCACTGGGGTAATTCCACAGATGCTGGCTAACCCGCTAGGCATGTTGCAAGTGCCCAATCGTCCTATGCGAGTCTGGAGAGCAAGTGTCAGTCAATGTAGTGGATGATACATCACAACCAAATTCAATACTGTCTTTACTTTCCATTGGTGACACTGAATAACAAACAATGTCAGATTGGTTCAATTGGTAGTACTCTCACTTATAGTTCAGAAATATGAGTTCAAGCTCCTTGTTGAAATTTTGTCAATCCATGGCCCAATATTCCATTGTGGTGTTGGAGAACACTTAATTGTCTGAGGTGTCATCCTTCAGATGAAATGTTCCCACTGGAACTCCTTGTTTCAATTCCTTCACCTTGTCCCCATTTGTCCATATTCAAATCACACTTGAAGACTTTCCTCTCAGACTGTGCCTACCGTCACCTCCGCTTTCTCCCCAGCTCGACACCCAAACCACGCCATCATTAAGCGCTCCAAGACACTACCCTAAAGTGTAGCTATATAAATGCAAGTTCTTGTTGATGTTAAACCGAGATACAGTCTTTTTGGTCAGGTATATAATAATAATAATCGTTGCATTTGATATATCAATAGTTCATCGGTATGCCAGTAGATGGCGGTGCAAATGATCTCTACTCCTAAACAAGGAAAACAAATACAGCCAAAGTTGCTGCTCCTGAAATTGAAGTCATCAGGGAGATGGTGGTCCTGTTAGCAAGCAAGGACAGTAAGGCTCATCTGTGATGGTTCCCCAGATTCTTACCGATATGCACCTGTTAGCTGTGTAAGCTCACACGGGAAGAATGGATATTTCAAAAAAATATTATCCTACATTATCCTGCATGAAGGGTGCTGCATAAATGCAATGTGTTGTTCTGATTAAACTATATAGTAATCCTTGCATTTTGATATAGCAGCTTATCATATCATTGATATATATCATGTTACAGGATATACTGTAAAGTGGTTTGACTGCATATTTTGTGGGTGAAATGTGGCAACCAGTTGCGCACAACAGTGTCCCACAATCAACCATGGAGTGAGTGACCAATTTTATTTGGAGGATTTGTTGGCCGGAACACTGGGAGAAACTCTCTTCTGCTTTCGATTAGTACCATGGGATCCTTAACATGGGATTTATGTGATTCCAAGTTGTGCCATAGGGCTTGAACCCACAACCTTTGGACTCAGAGATGAGAGTGCTACCACTGAGTTAGAAACACATTTATAAACAAAATAAGCTTTCCTGTCTCATGCTCTTTGTTTATTGATGGTGTAATGCTGATACGTCATAAATGAATCACAAGACAGCCTTTGGTCTGTAGTCAGTAAGTTTCTGCCTCAACCACATTTAGGTCTGCTGGAATTAAGAAGCCGAGTTCAGATTCTATTTATTTTGGGGGTTCACAGTTAAATCACAACCTGACCCATCAATAATTCTTACATATTTTTGCATTATAAATTGTACTTATTTTGTTAAGATTTATTTCTGGTTATTAAAAATGAAATGTTGTTTGCATTTCTAATTTAATTTCCTCCATAATTCTATTCATTTATAATTCTTAGCACAAGCTTAACATTTCAAGATAGAGTTTTAATACAACTTGCACTTATAATAACGCCTTTCACGTAAGAGAATGTCTCAAATTGTTTAGTTGGGCAGTGTACAATAGCAACCAATGAGGGAAGGAGGATATCGAAAGGTGACTAAAGACAGCGTCAATATGTTTTTATAAGAAAAACAATTTTCGGTCAAAGTTGGCATAGTTGAATAAGGACTCTTTGACTGATAGCTGTGCAAGATTGTTCTCCCGGTTGCCATTTGGTGCACTACCTTCCACAAGGATGAGATCAGATCTGCCAAAATATCAAGCGAGTCATCAATGAATCTTTGCGGGCTGGGGGAGAACGAATGTGTTGGGGATTGTGACCCTTTAAGACATCCTCTTTAGGCGTCTGTAGGCTGGGAAAGAATTAATGTAGTCAGGAATGCTATCTCTTTAAGGCAGGCTGCATGGAGAATAAAAGTAGTGTGTGTGGGGTGTGGGCAGTATCTTTTAAGGTAGACTTTACAACTTGTGGGGAGTATGAATTTAGTTGTGGATGGGGAATGTCCCTTGAATGCAAACTTTGCAGAATTGGGGCGGAGGGGAGAGGAACTGGGTGGGGGGAGGGGGAAAGGGGGAGAGAAGTGGGGGGAGAAGGGGAAGGGAGGGAGAAGGGAAAAGGGGGGAGAGGGGAGAAAGGAAGGGGGAGGAGTGGGCCGAAGCCAATGAATGTGGATAGGGGTCTGTATTCCTTTAAGGCAGACTTTTCAGTTTTAATAACAATAATAATCCTTGCATTTGACATAGGTCCTTATCACATCATCGCGACGTCTCAAAGCGCTTCAAAGAATATGCTGTGAAGTGGATTGACTGTATTTTGTGGGCAAAATCAGCAGCCACTTCCTGGATAGCAGTGTACAGTGGTAGATTTCGTGACCAAATTCAAAATGTATTATTGTTTTCAAGGGAATATTACACCGGAAAGGCTTGGGAAAAGACAATGGATGTAATGGGGGGGTGGGGTCTGTGTGGTTGAGGGCTCTGGGGCGCTATCGTGGATTAGGGGGCGCAATATTAAATGCAAGTTGTTGTTGTTGTGTTCCTTTCAGATAGTCTTTGCAGGCGGGGAAAAATAAGAGACACAAACACAAAACATTGCAGATGCTGGAAATCTAATAATAATAATAATTTATTGCAATCATTTATTATTATTATTATTAACTTATTGTGCTTGGAAACCTGAAACAAAAAAAAACAGAAGTCGCTGGAAACACTCAAGCAGGTCAGGCAGCATCTATGGAGAAAAGGGGGGGGGGGGATCCCCCGAAACGTTTTCCTCCGTCCACTGATGCTGCCTGACCCTGACCTGTTCTTTGAGTGTTCCCAGCGACTTGCGAGAGGAGGCGGTGTCCCTTTAAGGCCATGTGTGGTGTGAGGGGGGCGGGGCGCGGGGGAGGAGGGGGGCGGGGCGAAGGGGGGGGGCGGGGCGGAAGGGGGGGGGGGGGGCGGGGCGCAGGGGGGAGGGGCGCGGGGGGGGGGAGGGGGTGAGTCACGCGGCTCCAGGTCACGTGCTGACAGTCTTGTGACTGACTCGCGCCGCTCGCTCGGAGTTGGGGGAAAGAGTCAAATCCCGGGGAGCGCGAGGCGAGGCCGTCACGTCACCACCCGACCCCCCCCTCACCCCCTCCTCCACCCCCACAAACTTACTTGTGTTTTTTTAATAATAATAATTTTTTTTAATATATCAATACGATCATTATTCCGTTCTGTTTTTGGTGGCTGTGTGTGTGTGTGGTGGGGGGAGGAGGGGAGGAGTGCCCCTCCCGGACGAGAGACGACTCTCTCAACCGCCTGTGAGGCTCGTGAAACAGCCCCTCCTCTCCACCTCCCCGGTCCTCCCGTTCCCTCCCTTTAATGCCCAAGTTTTCCGGTAAAAAGTGACATAAGTCCATCGTAACGGTTTCCCGCTCTCTCCCTCCCTCTCCCCCCCCCTCTCTCTCTCTCACTCACTCACTCCTCCTCACTCACTCACTCCTCCTCTCTCCGGGAAGGAGGCGATCTCCCGAGCAGCGATGGATAACAAACCGCTCTTATCGGAAAGGCCGCCGGCCTACGCCGCCCTGCCAGCGGGTTACGAGTACGGTCAGACCTACGGGACGATCACGCCGCCCGGTTACCAGCCGCCTCCGCCGCCTTACTACACGCAACCAGGTGCGGCTCCGGTGCCCCTTCCCTCGGTCCCCGGGTCTCTCCCTCCGGTCGGTGGTTTAAAATCACGGGGTGGGGGGGGGATTCCCGGGGGGGGGGGGTTTCCCGTCGAGCGGCCGCTGAACCTCTTTATTCGCCTCAGAATAGTCTGGGGGGAGGTTTTACAGCCCTGTGACCGCTTGTCATTCCTTCTGAACCCACTTTTTTTTAAAAAAAACCACAATTAAAACAAACTCCCGGGTTTGGGTGACTCTTGTTGTTGTTGTTGTTGTTGGGGACCGTTTATCTACGTGTGAGTGTGTGTGTTTTTTTTTCGTGTTAACGACGCCCGTCTCCAGCTGCAGACACCGAGGTTCAGAGGTCTCTCTGGTGTAAAATTAAGTGTCTTTTAACTCGGGGAGGATTGACGTGTTGGTGCCTCTTTAACGTCTGGTTATAAATAAGCCCTAATAATTTGGTCACTGGAGCCATAACTGTTTGTGGGACCCCCGGCGGTCCGCCATTGGCTGCTGTGAATGCACTTAACAGTAATATCCTGCGAAGCGCTTTGAGACCCCACTGTGACTTAATAATATTAATAATAACAATCCTTGCATTTGATATAGCGCTCTTCACGCCGGGAGGACGTCCCGAAGCGCTTCGCAGCACGCACTGTAAGGCGCTATATCAAATGCAAGGATTATTATCGTTGATCAGCCATTGGGGTTTGCAAACTCGGTATTTCGTTTTTAATTTTAGTTTCTGCCTCAAATCAGCAGGTGCGTAACTTAATTTGAAGGTTGTTTTCGTCCTGTATTTGGTAATTGTGGTTTGCGATCTGCTGACAGATTGCTCAGATAACTAGATCGGTTAATGAATTTCTTATTTCCGTGAGCGATGACTATCTGGTATGTTGCTGTTTCCTTTCACATGAGTAATGTGTAAAAAAAATGGAGGCTCCATAGTTTGCTTGATGTAAAGTACTCCCGAGGTTTGGGAGCAGGATTGTTTACTAATGCTGATTTTTTTTCCCCCCCCTTGTGATGTTTTGATTTTTCTACTGAGCAGAGGTGCCAATCGCCCTCCTCCACCTTGCTTAAGTGGCTAACAAATTAACAAATGAGGTGTGATTGTGAAGCTGGTGCGTTTGCTTCTGCGTCTATAACTGTGTGTGTTTGTGGGGAGGGGAACTTAATGTTGTATCTTACCATTCCTATTCTCACCTGGAGCACCTTCTTTTGGGTTAGCTGTGCTTTTGACAATTGCAGAAACACTTCCACCATGGTTGCCGCATCCAGATCAAACCAGAGATCCACCTATGCTTGGAAATTTCCTCGTGTTTGGAATGGAGTACACACACTCTCCTCAGAGGAACATGCCCCGCTTATCTAATTCTGGAACCTGTTAGGGGCAGGTTGGCAAAAGCTGAGGCTTGAGGATGTGTATTGCGGTAACAGCTGGAATTTAACCAGCCAAAACTACACAACATATTGGGGATCCCACTTGGCAAGCTCACGTTGCTTGTCCAACCCGGACCACCCTAGCTGTTAGGGCTTTGGTTTGCAGGGTTTGCAAGAGCTGAGTGGGAAGAATCCCTGCTACCAGCCACTCGTTCGCCTTTCCCAATTCTACCGATGAGCTAGACTGACTGGCAGTAATTAGCAGTGTTTTAGGACACTGTGGACCCGTCTGGCTCAGGAAGCAAGCTCCTATTTACTTTGACCTCTGCCATTTTCCCCTCCCAGTAGATGAGCACTTTAATCACTGCATGAGCAGCAGGACCCCTCCTTAATCTGGGGAGTTCAAGCTAATTGTAGTGTCCTAGCAGAAAAGGTAACGTGGCACAGACTGGATATCAAACTGCTGTGTAAACTGACTATCTATTGTAGAACATCTTGTTCCTCTTTAATCCCTATCACTAGTTCTCACTGGTGTATCTGTGGGGGGGTTATTTTATTTGTAGTGTCTTTTTTAAAAAAAATGTTTGCATCTTCTGTAATGGTTCTCCTATCTGGTTTCTAGGTTACAATCCTCCTCCTCTTCCACCATTGGGGCTTCAGCAGCCCACTTGCCCAGTGCCAGCCTTTCCCAATACTTACATCATCACTCAGCAGCCCACTCCCGCCTCAGTCGTGGTAGTAGGCGGATGTCCAGCATGCAGGTAAAACGAGATTTAAAAAATCTTTTTTTGTTGTGATTTAAAATCACTTGCTCAGCAATTAGTAATTCATACTCCACAAGAAGTTCATATCCTGGGTTCACTGGAGCTGTGTGAAGCACTTTGAAGAATCCTCCCAATATGGAAGGTTATATTAAATGTTTTTTGTCCAGCTGGGTGCCTGAGATATATGGAAACCCATCAACATGCTGAAGAGTATCCAAACAGGTTTCTATGCATCCGACCTACACATGGAAATTCCGGAGAGATGAATGGAATGCCCACTTTCTCTCTCTCTCTCTTTCTCCCTGGAGGGACACATCCTGCTTACCTAATTCTGGAAAGTTTTAGATAGAAGGTTGGGAAGAGCATATAGGCTTGGGGACCCCAGAATGTTTATATGACATTGTGGTTTAAACCTCTTGGGTAGTGTGATCCATCTGTAGAAAGTTTTTAAATCTTGTCTTTTCAGGATTTTAGTTTTAAGAAGTAGGAATTCCTAAGGCGGTTTTCTCCACCTTACTCCCTGCTCACAGTCCACCCTCACCACTGTAAAATGCTTCAAGATGTCATTCTACATAAAAGGTGCTATATAAATGTGAGGTGTTGTTGCTTAATGCTTTAAGAGATCTGATAACTATTCAGTTTTCTGTAACTGAATATCTGCTTTATAATCACAAGGGAAAGTACAGTCGGAGCTTCTAAACTTTTGTATGGGAATCAAAAGAGTTGCATGCACACAGCTGGACAAATGGAAAATTGCAACAAAGTTGAGCTAACAAATGACCTGGACATGTTCCGTAACCAGCACATCCTCATTCGTACAGATTTGTTTTAACTGGAAGCCTTGTGACTTCCATTCGTCATTGTGAACTTTCAAAACACCAGTTGCCACATTTTCAAGGTTGTACTGCTGAAAAATGTAAACAACAACTCGCACTTATATAGCGCTCGTCATGTTGGCTGCTGTGTTTCACCCACAAATATACCGTCAATTCACTTTACAGTATACTCTGTGAAGCGCTTTAAGACGTCTAGAAGATGTGAAAAGCACTATATCAGAGGCAAGGATTATTATTATTAATAAAATTTCCATGTTGGTTTCTAAATTTGTGAACCACGTTTAGGTGTCTAGATTCATTAGTAATTAAAAAAAATTCTGCTGCCCAATACCTTTTTAAGAGTGGTCAATGCAGACAGTTATCTTAAACGGTCACTTAAGAATCTCCAATTGTAAACAGTGGAAATCTGTTTTTTATAAAATGTTTTTAATCTGTGCCACTTTATACAACATCTTTCACGTTGAGAGGATGCCCCAAGGTGCTGGACAGTCAGGAACTAGGATCCGAGCTGGGCGTGTGTGTGGGAGGAGGGGTGGTGTTTGGGAGGATGGAGGGCAGAGAGGGTAGCCGAAGGCATAGGCAAAGAGGAGGGTCTTGAGGTGTGCCTTGAAGGAGGCAAGGGAGGAAGTGAGGTGAAGGGAATGTGGAATGGAGTTCCAGAGGATGGGGGCAGAGGGGCTGAAGGCCCAACTTCTGATGGTGGGATGGCCAGATCTCTGGGGTCATGGAGGAGGCCGGAGCCTGCTGAGCGGACAGGTTGATCAGGAGTTAGCAGGTAGGAGGGTTGGGCAATGGAGAACCTTGAAGACGACTATGAGAATTTTGAACATAATCCTCTGAGGGATGTGGAGCTGGGTGAGGGTGGGGTGTGATGGGATCACGGAGCCTGGTGCAGGAGAGGACACAAGCTGCAGAGTTCTGGATGATCTACAGCGTGTGGAAGGAAGAGTCGGGAAGGCTGACAACCAGGGCGTTGGCATAGTTGTGCCTGGTTGTATGAGTTTTGGTGGCAGTGGTGGAGTTGGGGCAGTGTTGCGGAAGTGGGGGAAGGCAGAGCGAGACATGGCGTGGATGTGGGGGAGAAAGGAGAGATGACGGTCGAACAAGACGCCCAGGTTCCTGACTGGTTTGGTGAGGTGGAGTGTGCATCCGTTGATGCTTCCGTGCCTGAGGTGCGGAGGTGCTGGCGCGAGCCAATCAGGAGAGCCTCGGTCTTGCTGACGTTCAACTGTAGAAAGTTGGCACTCATCCAGGCAGTCTGTCAGGACATCAGTGGTCCTGGGGTCGAGGGTGGAAGCAGAGAAATAGATTTGAGTGTCATCTGCATATATGTGGAAGTTGACCCGATGATTGCGGATGATGTCACCAAAGGGAGCAATTATAGGTTGAAGAGCAGAGGATTGAGCACAGAGCCTTGAGGAACACCGCACAAGATGGTACGGGGGCTGGAAAAGAAGCCATTTGTGGAGGCCAAGTGGAGCCGGTGTGACAGATAGGATCTGAACCATTCAAGGACAGACTTGTAACTGATTTATGTAAATAACTGATTCCTGTGTCCCTATATTCCAAGTATTGTGTTCTATGGATTGTTTATAGTGAGGAATCTTTGCTTTATACGGTCAATTCACTTTATAGTATATTCTGTGAAGCACTTTGAGACATCTCAAAGATGTGATAAGGAGCTATATCAAATGCAAGGATTACTATTATATTATTATTTAATGTTCTGGGATTCATCTTTCCACACCAGCTGCTCTGTGGGGCATGTTATGGAGAGGAGCTGAAACAGCTTGGAATTTAGTCAGGTGGGAATTTTGGATTGGTCTAGGAGCAGATTCGCAAGGGCTGTCCCACCCTGGGAAAGTTTAGGGCTGACTGGATTGTAGTTTTACTGTGTCAACCATCCATCCAGGAGTTGAGCAATTCCAAGATTGATTCTTTGCTGGTCCAAAGTTCATGGTTGAGCAAATCCAGCTCCTGGTTGTAATGATCACAGGAGGTGGAATTGTTCTGTGTATCATAACAGCAAATAGGTCATTGCTACTCCCATTGTTTCATCGTGTTATTTCCCTATTTCTAATCTATTTCAAAATACTTGGACCAAAAGGTATCTCCTGTTGTAATTTACAAATGACTTAAAAAGGATCTTTTGTTAAACAATGTACCAGTTATTTCTGCAGTTGACTTTTTACAAACATCAACAGACATTTTTGCGGAAGTGGGGGAGGTGTGGGGTAGGAGAGAATGTGAAGTGTATCAGAACAAGATCAATGCAATTGCAATTACAAGCAACACATAATGTCAGTATCAACTGCAAGGAACTCCCTCTCTCCTTTGCCAGTGCATCACTGTAATATGAAGTGTATTCAGGGAGAGAGCGCCTGTGATTTACAAATCAAATGAATTGAGCAGGTACTTGAATTTCGTTACGGAAATGCAATGTCTGGAGTTCAGGAATAGTTGTCGCTGACCATTGCAAAATTGGTGGGCCCTGCCGTACAGGCTGCCTGCAGATATGTGATACTTGCACAAACGACATTAAAACGGTCCTTAATTAAGTAGTGCCCCCTTGCTGAGCGACAACTGCATTGTCCTAAAAGTGCATCACATATACCACTCGAAATGATTGTGGTCAGTTTGCAAGGTGTTCTGTTTAATGTACTTGCATGTGGTCAGACGTGTATGTGTGGTTGTGTGTATGTATATTATATATATTATTATATATATAAAATATACCCAATTAAATTTGACCAGAACATTTAAGAGTTCAATTCCTGGTTCTCATTTTAACAAGACTGCTCCAATTTATTGTGGAAGACATTTTCTCTGGTCACGCTGGTGAGGCGCAGGGACAGGGTCAAGGACACTGGGGAGTAAAAATTAGAACATTGTAACATTGAATGTCCTTTTAAGAGTTGACACAAAAATGAGTAAATTAATTGAATCTGTTTTTGACCCTTGTTGTATTGCAGTTACGAATGAAAGAGCTAATGCAGTTTTTCATTGTCGAGACCAGCGATCTTTAGTGCAAGGAAAGTTTCAATAATAATGACATTTAATACAGCACCTTTCATGTTGGGAGGACATCTTGAAGTGCTTCGCAGGAATTATCATAAAAGTGGTGACTTTCTTTGTGAGTGAATCAACTTGTGGAGGGACTGTTTTTTTACGTGTAGCTTTTCTTTTGAAAGGTTGGAAACTTTTAAATAGAAACTTTCCTCACTCTTAATGTTGCTTCATTATGTGGCTGGATTAATATGCAGAGACTCCACCTTAACAAAACAAAGTTCAATCAGGCAAGAGGTAGGACGAACCATTTGAATTGCGGCCCGTGATCACCCGAGCACATCTATGCTCTTGTACTATCGGGCACATTCGCTTTGATGCCAATTGAAACAAGTAGCATTTCATTGGCAAGACTGAGCTTCACACATCCAAGTTAAAAATATAACCAGACTGAACTACACGCCAATAGGATTTGTTTTTTTTTGGGGAAAAACCAGCAATTCATCAGAATAAGGCTGAATTCATTGCTTTACTGTTAAATGAATTACACTGCTTTACTCCTAAATGAATGTAATATTTAATACTATTGACTTAAATATTTACTATTTAGTGAATTCATTACTTCACTATTAATTGAATTTAATATACCAATATTTACTGAATTAATTGTTATACTATTACATGAATTACAAATTCCTTTTGTAAAGAAAAAATGTCCATTTTCTCCTAACCAAAATTATAAAAAATGAGTTTTGGGAAAGGAAATTTCATAATCTTCTTTGGCAGCACACATGGCATTTGCCTCCAGCTTTCTCAACTCAGTCAAAGCTTGTCATTTCCTATTTTCTCCACTGCAATACTCCAAATTGCTTGGGTCAGGCAGGGTGTAAAGCGAGAGCAAATCAGGAAGTAGGATAGCATATAGACAGAGCTGGCAATCTTCCATGATAACAGCTAAGTTCTTGTTAATTGCTCAACTTCTCAGAAATCAAAGTGAACTTTAATCATGTGGGTAGAGCATTGAAGTATTACTCACTTCCTGTGCAGACCATTTGCAGCACAAAGTGACTTCTGAAAAGGGCTAAAGGATTATTTTGCAAAGGCTTTTTAAAAAATACATTAGTAAAATGGGTTAGCATCTATAATCACACTAAAGCATAAATCTCTTATAAACCTCATATTACAATAGGTCACCAAGACAAAGCTCTGTTTACAAACTGTCCTACTTCCTGGTTTGTTCTCACTGGAGGCAAATGCACTAGAACCTACAATTCTGCTTAAAAAGTGAGCATAACAGTACATAGAAATAACCTCCTTACACAAGGGCCAGATTGTTTGGTTAAGAGTGAGGAAAGTCCTTGAAGTGGTTTGCACATCTCAAAGTTTGTGGTAAAGAATTATTTAAAAAAGAAAGGTTTGTGAGACTAATGCGTAATATTATTCTTTACCACAAAGTTTTGAGATGTGAAAATTGCTTTGTGGAGCATATTTTGATTGACCATGATTCTGGGGTTTATTGCTCCATCAAGGAAAGAAAATATTGTAATCTTTGGTACATGGATCTTACTGTATTCTTCAGATTTTTATGAGTGCACATTGATATTTTTTCTCCTTTTTTTAAAAAAAACATAGGGTTGGAGTTTTGGAAGATGACTTTACATGCCTGGGCGTGCTGTGTGCAATATTATTCTTCCCCATCGGAATCCTCTTTTGCTTGGCACTACGACAGCGGAGATGCCCAAACTGTGGTGCCACCTTTGGTTAAAGGGAACAAAGTGACTAGGCTACCTGTGGCCAATTTTTCCTCTTTTACTGTAAATTCTGTATTATGTTTAAAACCACTGCCCATTACTTCATTCTGTATGATTTAACTCTATACCAACTGAGATGTTTAATAAAGATAACAGCATGACTGTTTACATTTTTGTTCCATGTTCCAATAGGAACATGTGCAGGTGAAAAAATTGACTTCCTTGATTCTTCAAGCAGTTCAGTGAAACATAGGTGGTTTGGATGCACTGCAAATTCTGGATTTCAACAAAAAAGACTTATTTACGGGAGCTCATTTTGTGCTGTATTATGTACTGCATAATTTGCTTGAAAATGATCTATTTGTTGCAAAGGGGCTTTAATTAATTATGCATAAAATATTTGTTTGATGTCAGACTAAAGTGGTATTAAAAAAAATCTTGCTTGAACCACCTATAGTTAGTTTAAAGATCTTGATAATGTCTACAGCTCTCTTGCATGTAAAATTTAAGTGTCTGGCCTCTTTGGAGTGTATCAATGTAAACTGCTGTGGTTTCTCAGTCTTCCTTGCTTTCTCTTTGGAAGGTGATGGTCCTCTGACTCGGGTGACATACTAAAGAATGTTTCACCAACACTGTTGCATATGTTTAGCATTGCTTTTCTTGCTTGGAGTGGGTGGCAATCAATGAGCTGGTGGAGAGTGGGAGATCCATTGAGGTCAGGGTGATGGAAGCAGAGTTATATAAAGATACATGGAGTTACTAAATGATGATCAGTCCACAACATTTTTTTTGCACACATTCCATTTTCTGCACTGAACTTGGAAGGTATGTGGGAAGACAATTGCACACAAGTGTTGTGAACCAGCCAACTAAAACTGCAGGCTATAGTGAGCTCTGAGACAGCCTTCAGAGGTCCACACACCCGTATAGTGACCAATTCATGAAATGTGGTCAGCAATGAATACAGATTTAAAAATTTTATTTGAAAGATAGCTTTTTCTCCTTGACCACAAAGCATACGTTTAACTTTTTGTACAAAGAACTTCAAGCTTGCTGTAGAGAATTATTATAACTTGGGTGGAAGTGCTATATTTTGAAATGTTTATCTGCATTGCTATTGGCCAATTTTCCTTTTTGTCTAAACTATCAAATTGTACTTTCTATGCATTGAGTAATTGGGTATGAGAACAAATGTATATTTCTGACTTACACTTGATTTGAAAACTTGGCTTTTTAAATGTACTGAGTGGAGTGCTTTACCTGGACGCCATATTTCATGTGTAATATTGACCATGTGAATGGCTTCTTTGGTATTTAACTGCAGTTTGTCTGGCAGTGGCCAAAACACTGTTGAATTCCCCTTTTATAGCATTTACAAATAAAATTGAAAAGCTAGCCATGTTGTGTTTTATTCATGGATTAATGAAGTTCATTGGATATTACTGCTGTTTAGTTATGATTCTTCAAAATATTATAGAAATTGTTTAGATAAGTTCGCTTAATTCACAAAACAGATTTTGTTTTGACAATCTTATTCTTGAATAGACCATGTGTTCCACTTTCTCCCTCGCTAACCTAAGTCTAACGTGAACAATGCAGTGCTCCCCAAATCAAGAATGAAACCTGCGATGTTCAGATACAAATGGATTTTGCTGTGCTTCAGCACAAGGGTATGGGGAGGCTGAATTGATACTCGTCATTTGCAGAAAGCACTAGAAGGGGCCATGGGTATTTTATATATTTAAACAATTATAATGAGTTCCTACATTGATGACAAAGTAGTTGTTCCATTCTAGTCTCCACTTAATTCTTCTGGCCTATCAGCACAGCAGTGGAGAAATGTAATATGAAGGCTTCAATACAAATGCAGCTTCCCATGATTTAGAATTTCATTCAAAGGCAGATTGGCTTTTCATACGTGATGAGCAGTCGGTAGGGAACAAGTATGTGTCAAGCACAGCGAGTTGAAGACTTCCTTTTTTACTTAACCAAATGTCTCACCTTTGACATGGGTCATACAGGTTTATATAATTCTGCCTCATCTGTGTAATTTCACATAGGAAGTGGGAAGGGCAAGTGAGTTTACAGTGAGGGGAGAGCTGGAACAATCATTTTTGTATTTGCGGGAACATATGAAAGTCAGTTGGCCATCTTTATTTTGAAGTTGGCTAAATTTCATAACTAAATAAATACCTTAAATTCTAGAACTTGCTTTTTTATAAAACTAATGAAATTGCCATGTCATGATTGGTTTAAAACAGTTGGAAGCAACTTCCAATGGATCCCGAAAACAGCTTAAAAAGATTATACACATGTTTAAAATCATTTATTCAAAATAAAAATTGAACCATTCTTACGATACAGATTATTGCACTTCAGCCATAGGTACAGTCTTCAGCTTCAGGACTCTGCCATCTATACAAATTAGACAATAACCTTGTATCATATAATCTACATCCTCCTGCTCTGCTGAGGATATACCAAATAAGGAAATAAGATCAGCAACAAAAATCAAACCATTCTCTCCTTCGCATCATGGAAGTCAGTTTAGACATTTGGAACTGTCTTCAGATATTTCTTACATAAAATGCACCATTACAAATATAGGCCTGATTAAGACAAGTAAGACTATCTACCACCTGGAAATAAGGGATGCTAATCACACAAGAGTGAGAAGACCAACAGGCTTTGCTCTCCTAAAACCATGCCTCTCACAAGCTAATCAGAGCACCACTGTGGCAGTCCAAGGCTATGAGAGCCCAGGATGGCATGCAGCTTACAATGAAAACATTGGAGACAAAGTACTATACTATCTAATAACTGTACATTGATATCTGTACTCTAATCAAAAATTAAGTTCTTTATATATATATATGTATAAAGTATTACTTTCCCTTCCTTTATTCTGTATATCTATAGTGCACTTTGTCAAATGCACTTTCATTAAATCAAAAACTACCTCATCTTGCAAGCTCTCCCAAATGTTACATGACAAACCAGTTTTATTTCCCATTATTCCAGAGGTAAACATCAGGTTGAATAATTAGACACGATTTGGGAATCACAATACCAACATCTAGTGGCAGATAATTGTCACTGCATTCAACGTTAAAACTACCACTTTCATTAATGCTCCACCCACCAGAGATTTCTTGGCTTTGTCAAGCAATCCAGTGGTAGTTTTACTAGTATTTTGGCCATAAATACTTAAAACAATACGCTCCTTTTTNCTGAGCACTTTAAATCTGCATTACATTCAAATCAGATATAATGTACAATATTAATGCAAACTCATAAAAAGGATATACATAAATGCACAATAGTTTTAAGGTCAGTTAGAAAAAATGTTACATGTTCATAAACTCTGTGAAGTGCAACTTATTAAATTATCAAAGGAGACATTTTATAGATGATTAAGAGGCATTTTTTTCTAAGCCATTTGATATACTTTATATAGTTAGCAATTTATTTTTTAAAAAAGTTAAAGCATTGAGGTTTGCTAGAAAATGAGAAAGTGGGTCTCAAGTGAGAGTTAGAGACTTTATTTAGATCATTATTTATTTGACATTATTTAGATTCTGTAGACCCGTATATTGCATTAGCTTTCTAAACAAACATGTAAGTAACTGCTTATATTACAGTTAAGATTCATTTTAATTCTGGACAGACTATATAGTACAATAGAAAATAAAGTAGTTAATCCAGTTCCATTATCCGTCTTTATGAACTTGCAAAGTTACATACATTTATTGTGCTTTCTTTCCATATGCAGTTAATATTGTTCTAGCAGAATAAGAGTTGAAATCAAACTTTTGCAAAATTTACAGCCATTAGATTAGGAAATGTAATGCTTACACTGCATAAACTGGTAGCACATAGTGGCCTAAAGTTCTTGTGTGATGGTCGATTCCAAAACTTAGGAGCATTCAGTTATTCTGGCCTTAATTCTTGCAATTCTTTGCATTTGATATAGTGCCTCATTACATCAAAATGCTTCATTTTTTCTGTAAATTGCAGTGAATGTGTATTTGTAGACAAACGCAGCAACTAATTTGTGCACAACAATATTCTACAAACAGCCATGAAGTGAATGACTATTTTTTTAAATCTGGAGAGTGTCGGCCAGGACAATAATGAATAGTTTTTGAATAGTGCCATGGATATTGACCCAATCATTAGTCAAATTGCATTACATGTTGTAGCAACTAGAGTGGTAGACTATGGGACTCACAACCAGGATGAGATTTTGAATCCCAGTCTTAATAGACTTACACACTCAATTGAATCAATTAGTGAGATTGATCGGAGGAAAAAACATTAATTTTACTGCTGCCTAAATGGTGCTTCCCTTTTATTAGCTGCCCAAACCTAATGTATCCCAATATTTCACAGTACTATACCCTGATTCCTGACTTTACAATGACCCCTGCTTACTATTTTACTTGGTAATTCACCAACAGATGTAAATAAGAGTGACTCTGCAGGAATTGGCTACTCTGGACATGTGAGACATTCTACCCAGCAGCTGTGGTAAATCAATGGCCCCCAGGAATTGACAATTGGGCACCAGTAAATATCCAGCTAAATTAATTTTATTCACTTTGCATCACTTGCACCCATGGAATAAAACAAAATATGCAATTAACTACAGAATGATATTATGATTCCACCAAGTGCCTTTGAAACAGTCTTCAGAATCCCAACTGCAGGTATCTAGAAGGCCCTTTATTTGAGCACAGAGCCACAAAGCCCTTAAAGTCTAGGATTGAATACAATTTGAAACATTTAGAAATAAAGAGAACTCCCTCTCCTCAGTACTTTGACTCATGATCTATACTTATAAATGGGAAAATCCTAGTGTAAGTGCACTGCATTAACCATTCAGCTACAATAGGAATTTCATTATTCATAAAACATCATTTCCATCTTACAAGACTGCAACGTTCAATTTTAGTGATCATTTTTGCAAGCTTCCTTTGGTCACAGATCTCCATGTCCAAACAAAAACAGATGCAACTTCTGTGATTCTAGGAACATAATTGGTTGCATCCAAATTCGGAAAACATTCATTCAAATACTTCTTAAGTGGGGTCAAACTCCCAGAACAGTGGGAAACATTAATAACACCTTGCATAATTTGAAACGTCACAATGGACTCAACAATGCCACGCTACATCACAATTGTATATGCTTTTATGACAGTTTACAAAGAGAACAGGAATGTAAGTTAGGATTGATGCCAAATACCCGAAGAATTTTTACATATTCATTCAACTTCATCTCCACAACATATGGCTCAATTTTGCATAGAGGTGCAAAGGCTTTTTTTTTAAATGTTGCACATAAAAAGGATATGGGTTCTGGCTGTGCTGAATGCCCAGGAATACCTGGGGTAAACTTGCAATAAAGCATTGACCAGCAAGCTTGCGGTTGCAAAAGTGGGGACAGGAGAATGTAAAGTGGTGGCCACCACTTGTGAGAACATCAACTCGGACAGACACTCGTAGATCCACAGATATGTGATAAGAATAAGTTTCATTTAGTGTCTATAATTTAGTTTTAAGACACTGTCTGTGTGTTTATTCTTAAACATTTTAAAATACTTACCATATTTACCATCTTTACATTTATATGTAATTCCACAAACTCAACTGATTTCAGATGATAATTTTTCTACGTGTGTAGGACAATATAGATTTCAGTTACTCCTTATCTCACATGTAGGTGAATTTTGCCCCAACAGAGTCATACTGCTCTCTGCTCCCCCCACCTCACGCCGGGCTGCAACCCAAGTTTACATTGTGCTGGTACAGAAAGGCTGGTCTGCAATGTTTCTGAGAGGCGTAAAGTAAAGAAAATGCACCATAATAATTAAGAATGAAATAGAGGGGATTGCAAAGAGCCTTTATGTCCTCTTAAACTCTGCTTCTACTATCTACTGAGGTGGAAATAAATAACTGCCATAATTTTTCAATCAAGTGATCTAAGAAAATGTCAACTTGCTGATATGAAAGTATTTTTATAAAGTTTATAATGACCTCGTTCAATGGTGTGAAATGGCACTTTGGTCCCTGAATAAAGGATTTGTGACAGGCACTGTTATGAAATAAGAAACTAAACTGAGCACTGTGATAAATACATCAAGGTCTGAACACTTTTAAAAGCTCTTCCAAACTTAAAAGTACTGCAGTAGAATCCAGCTGTTGAAGACTGCAAGTTTGTTACTTAGATTCTATTCTGCTGTTATCCAATCCACTAAGATGCCAAAATAGACATACTTGAAAGGGTCCCCTTTTTTAATGCTTGATGAGTATTTTTTAAAAAAATCACAACTCATTTTAGATGGCACGTTTTGCTTTTTTAAAAAAAACAAAATCTGTGGTGTCTGCCTTTTATATTTAAATTCTTAAATCTTTTGGCTGATACATTCAAATTGCATCTTGGGTAAACTGAACTCAGCAAATTACATTTCATGAATACACAGATGAGTTTCGATGATCATAGGTAAAGTATAGGTTCTGGGCAGGCTAACAGCCTACAATGCAATACGGGGGAGAAGAGGATGAGACAAGATTCGGAACTGTACATTTTTGGGTAAATGAAGTCCCAGCTCCTAAAATCTCCAGATAGAATAAAGAGTTGTGTAGCGGGAAAAGAAACAATAAAACATACATCCCTGAGAAAAGAATTGGGACGGGTTATAATTAATTATATAAGGCTGGTACCCACACCCTCCTTACTTTTCCCTCCCCTTGCCATTAGATACCAATGGAAAATATGTAGCAGTGTGTCACTAGTTTCATCAACATCTGCCTAAGAGCTCAAGGCCTGTTTCTGTTACGCGATCAGAGGCAAATCATGGCCGGCACCCTCAGAATGGCTACTATAGTACGTGCTATGGCTGCTCCAGACATACCTAGCTCATGAATGATCCACAACAGGCTATAAAGTGTACAGTTTTTGGCTAGATACCAAATAGTGAAGCAAGAATATTTCTATTTATAGTATATGCAAACAGAAAACAGGTACATGAGAATTTTTCGGTGGCAACAGCATTTTGAAACAGAGAACTCATGTCCCAATTAAAAAATTCTTTAAGTATGAAGAGCTGTAAATGCTGCTTTCTTCCACTAGTAGATTGTCTTCTGTCCCACCATCATCATGAACATAAAATAGTAGCATTTTGCAATGAGATGAATCCAGAGATTAATTTTAAACAGAAGCATAAATAACTTGATGTTAAACAAATCTGCAAAGATTTTGTGCAGAAGGAATGATCCAAACATTCTATATATAACATTCATTTAGAATGGCATCTATAGGGTTTCCACCAATACACAGAGAGTTGTAACGCATGCCTTAAATAACTGGTGCTGATCTATCATTTGTTACTGTTGGTCGAAGTTTTACAGTAGCAAAAGGATTTCCGTCACTGAAATAAGAAAGATAAACAAATGGGTAAAAGATTAGCATGTGTTATCACAGTTTACAATGGGAAACATTACAGCAATTTACAGGAAAAATTACAGGAAAAAATAGCAAATTGTCACCTTCTTTACCTTTTGTATTTTATGATTGTGGATCATAACATCAAATCATGATGTGCCATAGAGGCCAAGACCAAAATACCCCAGGTTTAATTCCTGGTCATGTTGAGTTATCTGATCTCCAGTCTGGGTAAGATCAGGGGCACTATAATAGCCTCAGTTTCCTTTCTTGTAATGTTTTCCTCCCATCCCTGGCTTGGCTGTGTAGGTGACTAAAATTCTCTTTGCCTCCTTGTTTGGTTAATTAAAAGACTGTCAGTGCTTAGGGAACCTTACCCTAGTATGAGACACAACTAGTGTTGACATTGCTTACCTCAGGAAAGGTGGTTTCATGATGCCATTCATCTCAGAATTCTGTAAAAAGGGAACGGATTATTGAAACATCATAAAATAAAGGGAAAGCATTTTTAAAAATTTAGTGTTCACATGGAGATTACACTGCATTATTTAGACTTCCAAAGCGCTGGTTACAGCTGTGTTGACATCATTGAAGAAGAAATTATTAAGACAAACTCAAAAGGACAATACAGTATAAATAGAATACTGGGCAGATGTCTTATGGACATTACATTGGATGTTAAATTAAATGTCATATTTATATGTTGTTGTCACTCATCTTCTTTTTGTTTAACCTCACAGATTTTGTAATTGAGGTTTACTCCATCACTTTGAATTCAAATAAATGGCAACATTTCAGGACATTGTAGTAACCAATCCAAAAGGTACCAGTTATAGAAATCCCCCCACAATGTAACAAGGTACAACCAGGTAAAGCCACCATCAGTGGCAATTAGAAACAATAAAACTAGAAACTGTAATAGATTGAACTCTATCTTTTTTAAATAGCTTAATGCATTTTTAAATTTTATTTAGAACGGCAAATTCTGATTAAATCATTGGATATACTGAATTAAATTGTATTAGATAATAGTGTCACTGGAGTTAGCAAGCGAAACTCAAGTAAGCGATTATGTATGAACTGTTTAGGTTTATGTTTCCTTTATAATCTGTCCCACTAACATTTCTTTCCCATTTTCCTTATAATACTTATTTTACATGAACAATCTTGTACACTGTATTCAAATTGGCTGCCGTGTTAATATACAAAATACAAGTTTTTACACTATTTTCAATGAAGTACTGGCATTTTACATAGCAGCTCTGATGTGATTAAAAATGAGAAAGATTGTAACTCTAGTAGAGATTACATATTTTGGATGAAATGGGTCAAATACATTCCTGCACTGCATGAACCAGTTCTAAAAATACAGAGATCGACTTGTTCCTCCGCCCACCCGTTCACTTTTTACAGTAGTTTTTACAGTTAAAAAAGTATTATTTTTTTTTTTTTTTTTACAGACTTCAACCAGATGAGGGCAGTGTTTAGTAGGAGAAGAATTTCACACACCTTAGCAGCCTTCTACTTCTCAGATGATGTAGCAACATACACCAAAGAAACTAACTTGACAGCTTTTACATTACTAAGCTATCAAGTGTTTTTCTACTCCTTCAAATAATAGAAAACAGTGCTGTAAGTTGTGTACAGAAAATGTGGAATGGTCCAGCCTAGAAGACTACAGATAAAATAGATATTTATAGAATTAATTCAGGTTTAAAAGGAAGCCATACAGACTGATGAGCACTGAGAATTGTATGGGTAAGAGGCAGTGGTATATTTTCAACTTTTAGAAGTGCAGTAGATCCTTTGAAGGATACTATGTATAGGAATCAGGAATCTTATAGATAGGATCTCATACATGCATTCACTAGTACTCATGTATTAGCCTATAATGTTATCTTTCTATTTTATTTTTAGCGGCAAATCTGCTTAATTTACTACCGAACATGATTTATAAATGGGATGTCAGAATCAATGTGATGCAAATACATACAGAGTAAACACAGTGGACGCAAATTCCATTGGGATCATTTCTTTCAAAACTCTCATGAACGTTAACTGGAACATTTTGAATGTTCAGTCAGAAATATTAAAAATGTCTAATAATATTCAAAACTATACACAGAATTTTGATATTCTGCACAACACTGAAATAAATGGGTGTTTTTATCCCAACTGAAAGTGAAACACAGTGGGCAATAATAAATCTGGTTTCCCATTTCCCAGTAGCAAAGTGGGTTCGCTCCAGGCACTACAAATGCAGCTTTCCTTTCCTGTAAAATGTACCCATCGAATAACTCTCAAGGGTGTAGTTAAACCAGTTGTATTTTTTGAATACTGCTACTAAATGCTGAAAGCATTCTTACCCAAAGGCACAAGCATGATCCTTGAATCCTAATCTGGATTTTAAACGCAAAGAGGAATCAGGAATCGAACAAGAGCCTCGTTCAAAAATCTTGCTATAAAAGAATTGTGCGCACTAAATAGATTGTTCCAACTGCTCGTTTTCAGGGAATTGTCAGAAGTGAAGTAAGCCATGATCAGTGGAATTTGTCCTGTTCTCCCTTTTTAAAATACTAATTCAGTGCACTCACAGATTTTTGGGCCAGTGTGTTCTGTTGTCAAAGTCAGATGAGATCTAAATATAGACACATTGTTAACGTACTCCTGTAGATATGATTTTTCTACCCAGCTATGGTGGCACCTTTTGAACTGACCTTTTTTTGTGATTTGAAGCTGTATACATTGACATGCACGATTATGATTCCCTGCCACATTCAATAATTTTATAGGGGTTGTATTGAGACAATTTAAGTATGCATCATCCCTCCATACATTTTTTAACAATATAAATGAAGCCTAAGCAGCCTCTTGTAAAATAATATGGATAGAGGCAAGGAATGTTAGGTCAGATTGCAATGGACTAGGCAATATACAGAACTGGTTCAAATGGGCTGTGAGAATAACACTATGTGAGTTTCTACTCTTAATCTCAAGAGTACAGTACTACTTTTCCCAGATTGTGGTCCCAAATCAACACCTAGTTTTACAGTATAACCTTGAAATGGCCTCAGTCCAGTCTCTCTCAAATGATTTCAGCTATGTCACGCAGTAATTGTTAGCAAAAAGAAAAGGATGGTTTGATACATCAATTATCGGGAACACTGCACCATTAAAGCTTGGTTACTTTTATTCATTCCTTGCATTTTCTATTCTATCCCCTTAAGCAAACATTTAGCCTCCAAGCATCCATTTTGTATGATAGGATGGAAATAAACAATCTGCATACAATATTTCTATGCATAACATTTCTTGATCAACCTGAATTTTCTTTTATATTGCATATTAAAAAATGCAATTGGATACTTCAACTACATTGTTCGGCAGAAACATTTTTTTNAAGACAACTTTTTTTAAGGCAATATTGTCTGCACTTTTTTAATATCACAAGAGAGTATAACTAAAAAAATGTATTCTTGTTAATTATACACTCTGGTAGATACAATAAATCAAAGCTACACACACTGCATTTTTAACAAGACCAAATACAATGCAAAACTCCTAAAGAACATTGTGTAATTGAAAGCCATTCAAAGGGCGAAAGTACAGAATCCACTGGCTATGCGCCGCAAGAAACTGGGCAACTTATTCCCACATTGCATGCCCTTTTGACATTAAACATTAACTAGTTGTGTCAAGATGTTGGAGAAGGTTGGTTCTCATTTCAGCCAGAATTACCTGTTAATGTCACATGAATCCTCTACCAAGCAGTACACTGACTGCTGGGCCAAGCACTCTTTTTCAATTGCAATAAATCCTTAATGGAATGATGAAACAATTACAGTAAAGGACACATTGATCCAAATGTTAAAACTGCAAGTTCCATGCACAAAAAATTGCCTATTAACAAGTAACCTTTGCAATCGATCACCAATTACTGCTTTTTAAGAGTGGATTTCAATGCATCCTGTCTAAATCTTGAATTCCTGTATGTGTGGGTAAGATTTCCATCACCTACAGCATATCTGAGGAATTGCATTCTCTTTCTGAATGTGAATAAACTGTAGTACGTGCTGCATGGAGTGGTGCCCCCTTTATACCTGCAAGGCACAGGTATTTGAAAAAAATCAAGAATAGTGGGGATTTAAAAAATATCCTTTATGATTTGAGCAAAATCCAAAAACTTGGATTCTGATCTCATTTTCTCAATAAAAGTTCAAGTAAATTTTTTTTTATTGGCATCAAGTATGCTTTTTTAAATTAGTTGTTATTGGCATCCACTATAGTTTTATTGGCATTCAACTGTGACTGGTCAGAACAGCTGTTAATATACATGCATCTGAAAACAGTAGGAAAGTTGAACTAGGCACATTTACATTATTTGAACAGAAGTAAAGTTTACTTCAAATTCTGAAAACTTGAGTCCATCCTTAGTTTTTAAAAATATTTTCAAATTCTTTGATGGAATTGGAACTATTGATGGATAACTTTTAGTATCACCACTAGTATACTTAATACTATTAAGATATTAAAACGTGTTGAGGTTGTACAGATACAATTGTTAGTTGAAAAGTAAAACCTGCATTGAAAGTGGGTATTCTGTGGATTACGGAACTATTTAAGAATATTAAATAATACGCTTCAAACTTTACAAAATCATCAAAGTAACAAGAGGGAAAAAAAACCTCCTTAGAATAAATGGAGTGTCACTGCAATAAGACAGAATGCTTCCTCAGTCATTATGCTGGAGGCAAAGTTACAGGAAATCAATTGCATTGTGGTGACATGGTACATGGCAGCACAGCATCATGCAATAGCCTACAGTGAGGGAAGATGCAAGGCAATGTTGGTGAGAACGGGGAAAAATTAATATAAAGCCAGAGGCAGGGCACTATCATGTACTGTACTTTTCAACTGCTTACGAGGCGATGTTTAGCAATGCCCCGAGATCAGGTCACACTGAATGGGAACAGTTGCGGATTTGCCTGAGGAAACCAAAATAAAATAACTTGGTGGGGTGGGGGGGGGAAGGGGGTGGCAAGAAAAGATCAAATCTTAAACAAGTACTCCAAGTGCCATACAATATATTCTGAGACTTAAAGCAGATATGATGCTGGGAACAATGCCATTCCGCACAGTTGCCAGAGGCAACTCACCCACTCACTGACTTTACCTCACTTCCTTTGTGATGCTCGTGGTGTGGTTGCACCCACACCTCAATATTTCCAATTACTCAGGCGCTGTTACAAAAGAGCATTGATTTCAGTTGATTTTATTGAAATCACTGTGTCCACTGGGGAAGCTCCCTCAATAGAAGTGGAAGTTATGCTCATTGTAACAACATTATTCATGTTAAGAAGATGCACGTTTATTGGATTACAAGAGGATCAGATTTCACCAGATTTTTTCAGAAACATTTTAACATAACCCTTTGACAATCGTAATATCTGGGTCAAACTAAGCCTTCAATCATTTCTTTTTCATTTTTTTAGTGAGGTCAAGCCACACTATTTTAAAAAAAATTATCGTTTTTAAGAATATAAAGTGTGGCTTGATATTGCTTTTGTAAAGGAACAAATTCAAGATGATTTCACAGCCTAATTCTTCAATCAGATTGTTTGCCTTCTACAAACAAAACATTTGTTATATTTCCCATCTGCAGTCTGGAGGTAGAGCACCGAAAATAGCACAGGTAGCGCTCAGCTGCTGTTTCTAATTATAACCATGAGAGGCCATAAAAGCCATTGAAACACAACCCATATTTTATAGTTTTGGTGTCAACAGTGCGCAGAACAGTATTCTCTTGGGCACCAGCTAATAGTCAGTACTAAAGGAGCAGAAAATCATAATCTTGATTTTTAAAAAAGTGAGCCTCAGCAGTAGATTAAATTTCTTGCTCAGTGACCAATTTGATAAATTATATAATAATAATCCTTGCATTTGACTGGACTCCTGTACCTCATTGGTTAGAGCACTCGCCACACATGCGAGAGTTCTGGGTTCATTCCCAAAACCTTCGGCAAGTTTCCTTACTCCACAAGCCTGATAATCAACTCTCAAAAAAAACCTACAATAATAACGACTGTTTGTGGGACACTGCTGGGCGCAATTGGCTGCCGCGTTTTGCCCACAAAATATACCGTCAATTCACTTTACAGTATATTCTGTGAAGCGCTTTGGGACGTCTAGAATACCTGAAAAGCGCTATATCAAATGCAAGGATTATTATATAATAATAATAACGCTTTTCACATCTCAAAGCGCTTATCTATATTCAGGTAAATGTGAAATAAGGATAGTGCTAAGGTTTGAAACCCATTGTACCAAACTGGCTATTCCATTCAGTCAGCGAGCAATGGCCTCCTTCATATCTTCTGCCTTACCTGCCTATCTTCAGCCTATCTGGCCCCCCTCTCTGGAACTCATCTCAGAGTTCCAAATCGCCCCTTCCTTCATGTCTTTCAAGCTCTGTGTTAAGGCCTTCCTGTTTGACTGCACCTTTGGTCATTCCCTCTCCACCTGACTCCCATCCCAGCTCAAGTGCCAAGTGGGCGTCTTCCCGACTTGAAAGTCACGATATAAATGTAAATTTATGCTGTAACTCTTAGGTACACTCTTGCATTTATTGAGCTCACATAGTTAACAGAACAAATCAGTAACTATCAAACTGAGTTTGAATACGTTTGTAGTAAAAGAGAAAGCTGCCACAAGGAGGGAGAGTTCAGGTCAACTCATCTGTCACTCAGCACACTGGGGGCAGTAATCGTTTTGCAGGCACATCTCTTTGTTTCTTAAACAAGGACCCGAATGAAGCAACTGGTGTTAAGTAAATCTGTTATGAACTTTGAACTCCAGAATATCAAGGTAACTGACATGTCACAAATTGTCTTGTATAGATCCTCCCATCATTCTGAAAGTAGATGTGCATCAAATAGTTGATTAGGGGAATGTTTGTGTACTCAATTTCAGATAGAGGGAAATTTTCACATTTAGGTGGTATGCGTAGGTGGAACTCAGTCTGATCTGAATACTTGAAGCAGGTGATGGATTTCCAAGCATGTCAGATAGCTGACAAAAAAGACAAAATCTGCTGGTCACAGCTTCCACGCTGGGTTTGCATACTGTCAAAAGCACACGTCAATAGAATTACATGCATTTCATCAAATGTTTGAAGATGCTTCAGTCGAGCTGCTTAACAGAAACAATCCAACAAACTGACCATTTGATTTCCCCAGCGCCCCCACTGCAGTTAGATGGAACCTTTACTATAAATCAAGTGAACAAGTTATGAATAAAAGACACATATATGGCGTTTAGTGGACAACATTGATAATAATTATTATTAACATTGATAATCTTAAGAGGGGAATATCCATTCATGGATTTACGATTTTTTGAGCAGCTGAGTATCAGTTATCATCATCATCATCATTTATTATTATTATTATTATTATAACACATAATGCTTCAGTTGATTTGAGTGGTACTTACTGAATTTGTGTTGTCCTGCTTGGGTGCAAATCCCCGGCTTGTGGCACTGTTGTACAAATTCAGTTTTGAACCTTTTGATGGATTCATATTCTGATATGAATCAGATGAGACCAAGTAATCTGGAGGAGGCAGGACAACTTTTGACCTCTCTGCAAGATTCAGAGTGCTGATGCTCCGAACTGGAACTGGGCTAAACCAAAAACAGAAAAAAATGTAAAAGGTACTGCTTTGCACAAGAATGTAACGCAAGCGACACTAAATTTTGAAACAATTATTTGCTCAAGTCTAAAGTTACCACAGGTCAGATAATGAAATACTCATAATGTCCTGGCTATAGAATTTCTTAACCAATCAACTCCAGACTACTTCTCAATAGATTGGAATGTAGTTCTACAGGCACCAGTAATCAGCAGTGACATGCAACATTGCCCATTAGTATGAACACAGCGAGCCACTGCAACTTCAATTCAAAAAATATCCCCCATAAACAGATTTATCCAGTTAGTAGAGGCATACAACAACAACAACAACAAGATTCCATTTATAGAGCGCCTTTCACGTCAGGAGGACGTCCCAAGGCGCTGATCACAAAGGTTCCTCTTTCTGTACTGAGTTAGTTAATCTCACTCAGAGTGGTTCTCTGGGCACAAGAATTGTGTGAGTCCCAAGTTAGGGAGGGAGGAATTAAACAGTCAGCATTCTTAATTCCTATCCAGCAATCCTTGTTGGAAATCTAAGTGTATAGACCGTATAAGGATAGGATTGTGATCTCCTGTGACAATTCCTCCCCCTTTACCTATATTGTCCAGCAAGCCTCACACATGTATCATATCTCTTAATTCCCATTTAAAAAATACTAACTAATCAAATCTTAGTTTGGTAAGAAAATTGAACTGCATTGATTCATTTGAACTCTAGCCTGACACCACTTCATTAATTATGTTAAATTTATTATTTTTATTACATACTAACTTGTAAAATTTTGAAGTTTGTTAATCTTGGAGTTTGATAGACTGAAATGCATTTACAGCAAAGGTATTTATAAAAATAAAATAACTGATAAAAATAATAAAACTCCAGTGTGCAAATATTTTATCAGACACACTTGCTGTGTCGAGTAAGGATTACAAACAGGAGATATGGTTAGTAATTTAAAAGTTTAAAGACTCTTGCTTGACTAACTTTGTACAATAATTAATGCCATAACAGTACACACAATTGTTAAATCACAACTTAATGCAATTACAGAAACCCAAAAGTCTGACAATGATGCAATTTATATTTATCATTCACATTGGAGGGATGTTTCAAAGCTCTCCACACTGCTGGCTGGATAACCAAAGGGGAAGGGAAAAGATGATTGAAGGAGTGGTCAGAGAGGCAAGTCTTGAAACAGACCTTGAATGAGGTGAGGGAGAAAGGAAATGAGAGGGGTTCTGGAATTCCTGGAGGAATTCCAGGAGTTCCAGAGAGTGGAGGCAGATGGTTGAAGGCCCACCCCTAATAGAGCAGAGAGAGCAGAGGACATGAAGGTGGCTGGCGTTTGCTGATAACTATTGAAAGGAAAATTTATAAAGCAAATTAATATTTGTGAGGAAAGCGTGCATATTCCAATCCAGAAAAAGGAAACAGGGAGATTTCATGTATAAACGGCATCCCTGTGGAGCTCTCAGTCTGGTTAGATACTCTTAAGCAGTGTTGTGTTTTAATACAGGCTGCCAAAATAGTCTTGCTGCCAAAAAAAACATTTGTGGGACCTTTCTAGCACAAATGGCTATCCCATTTTCCCAGAAAAATGTCACTATTCGACAGTAATTACCTGTGAAGCACTTCAACATGTTTATTTGATAAGGTTATTTAAAAATACTTTCTTCTTTTTTACTGGCTTCTGTTCTAAATGACCCTATTCAAATTTGATGACTAGAATTTTTACATATCATTGACCCATTTTGCATTGAAAAACTCAACCTAGTGAGCACATTACATATGAAACACTGCAATGTTTGTGCATATAAAAAATAATGGGTGTAAACTGTTTATTCAAGAAGAGGTGTAGAATGCATTTGCTGAATTATTGAATTCTCAAAGGCAAAAATCAACTTATATAACTCCAGGTTAACAAGTAATCCATGGTAATTAAAGCTCTAAATTGGAGTAAAAGGTCATTTTGAAAAACATGATCTAACATGCCACCAGAAAAAAAGGAACAACAAAACAAACAGCATGGCAATGCACTCAGCGAATAACAGTTTTAGTTGATAGCTAGCAGTCAAACCTAGGTAACACGTTACTCTTTGCAGGGTTCTTCACCTGAAGTGGGGTAGAAGCTAGGAATATCATAGAATCATACAGCACAGAAGGAGGACATTCGGCCCATCTCGTCTGTGCTGGCTCTGTGAAAAGAGCTATATAAATGAATCCCACTGCCCCGCTCTCTCCCCATATCCCTGCAAACTTGTCAATAATTATCTACTTCTCACTTAAAAGATTCATCAAATCAGCTTCCATCACCGTTTGTTTCAGCAATGCATTCCAGATCTGAACAACTCGCTGTGAAAACGTTTCTCCTCATCTCCCCTCTGTTTCTTTTAACAACTATTTTAAATTGGTGTCCCACCCACCAGTGGAAATAGTTTCTCCTTGTCCACCCTATTGAATCCCCCTGTAATTTTGACTAAGTCTCCTCTTAACCTTCTCTGCTCCAAGGAGAATAATCCTGGCTTCTCTCGCCTCTCCTCATAACTGAAGTCCTCATTCCTGGTACCATCCTGGTAAATCTCCTTTCACCCTCTCCAATGCCTTGACATTCTTCCTAAAGTGTGGTGCCCAGAACTGAACACAGTCTCTGGCTGAGGCCTAATCAGTGTTTTATAAAGGTTCATCATAATTCCTGACTTTTGTATTCTATGCCCCTATTTATAAAGTCTAGTATGCCGTATGCTTTTTTAAAACAGCTTTATCTACCTGTCCTGCCACCTTCAAAGATTTACTTACATGAACCCACAGGTCTCTGTTCCTTGACGCCTTTAAGATTGTACCATCAGTTTATATCGCCTCTCCTCATTCTTCCTCCAAAATGCATCACTTCACATTTCTCCACATTAAACTTCATCTGCCACGTGTCGGCCCATTTTACCGGTCTGTCTATGTCCTCTTGCAGTCTGCTACTATCCTCCTCACCACTTACTACTTTTTGTAGCTTAGCATCATCTGCAAACTTGGAAATTGTACTCCCTATACCCAAGTCCATGTTATTTATACATCAAAAACAGCAGTGGTCCCAATACTGTCTCCTGGGGGACACCACTGTACACTTCCCTCCAGTCAAAAAACAACTGTTCACCACAACTCTCTGCTTTCCTTCCCACAGCCAGTTCTGTATCAATGCTGCCACTGTCCCTCTAATACCGTGGGCTTCTATTTTGCTTACAAGTCTCTTACGTGGCACTTTATCAAACGCCTTTTGAAAATCCATATAAACTACATTAACTGCACTACCTTCATCAGTTTCCTCAAAAAACTATCAGATTTCTTAAACCCGATTTTCCTTTAACACATCCATATTGGCTGTCCTTTATTAACCCATATTCTTCTAAGTAAAATTTTATTTTGTCCCAGATTATAGTCTCTAGAAGTTTCCCCATTACTGACGTTAGACTTACTGGCCTGTAGTTCCCAGGTTTATCCTTCTGCCCCGTTTGTACAGGCGAGTAACATTTGCAATCCTCCAGTCCTCTGGCACCACCCTGGTGTCCAAGGAGGATTGAAAGAACGTGGCCAGAGCCTCTGCTATTTCCACCCTTACTTCCCTTAATAACCTAGGATGCATCCTGTACGGACCGGGTGACTTATCAACCTTGAGCGCTGCTAAGCTTTTTAGTACCTCCTCGTTGTTCATTTTTTTCCTATCCAATTTCTCCAGCCTCTCCACCGATACTGTGGCATTCGCTGCATCCTCTTATTTTGTGAAGACAGAAGTAAAGTACTCATTCAGTCCGTCAGCCATGCCCTCTGCCTCCACAAGAAGATTTCCTCCTTGGCCCCCAATTGGTCCCACCCTACCTTTGACTAACCTTTTATTCTTTATATGCCTATAAAATACCTTAGGGTTCTCTCTATGTTACCTGCTAATCTTTTATCTTACAATCATACAATCCTCTTATTTCCCTTTTCGGTTCTTCTCTGTACTTTTTATATTGTATTTGATTATTTTCTGTATTTTGGACCTGACATTTATCATGAACCTCTTTTTCTGTTTTATTTTAATCCCAATTTCCTTAGTCATCCAGGGAGGTTTGTATGCCCTTCTTTTCCCCTTTGTGCGAATTTAATTGTTCTGTCCCCAAACTATCTCCTCCTTGAAGGCTTCCCATTGCTTGTTAGCTGTTTTACCTGCCAATCTTTCTTTCCAGTCCACCGTTTTTAAACTCACTGAAATTAGTTCTCTTCCAGTTGAGTATCTTCACCTTCGATTGTTCATTTCCCTTCCATAAGTACTCTAAACCTAATGGTGTTGTGATCATTGTTGTCCAGATGCTCTCCGACTGAAACCCACTTGCCCCTTTTATTCCCCAGAACCAGATCCAGGATTGCTTCCTTCCTCGTTGGGCTGGAAGCAAACTGATCCAAAAAATTATCCTGCACACATTTCAGGAACCCTTCCCCTTCCTTGTCATTTGCACTGTTATTTGAACACTCTGTTACAACAAAAACACAAAGAATATCAATTTAACCTTTCAACAGACCTTTTGAATATGTGCAGAATTTCTCAGTATTGGATGAAGTTCCAGTTATGGTGAAGTTATCTTAACACATTGCCTTTGATCTGTTAATTATATTGGGAGCTATGTTCGCTCAAAGCTGCAATCACTGAATGGTTGAGATAGCAAACTGGAAAATCAAAGTTTGAGTGGTTTAGAGATTATGAACTCTAATCTTGAGCATAAGTAACATATTACAGCAAACCGATTATTGGAATGCAGGATTCACCACATTTTAAGATTTAAGTGTAACATTTTAAAATTGGTTTAAGACAGCAAAGGGGTTAAATGTACCAAGATTGAGGAAACATCCACTTAAAGCCAACACCCTCATTAACTAATATCTACTTCATGATTATAATAATCCTTGCATTTGATATAGCACTTATCACATCTTCAAGATGTCTGAAAGCACTTCATAGAAGCGAAT